GTTTATAGGAAATTCAGGGTCTGGGGGTTCACAGTCCCCAAAACCTGGAACCCACATAATAAAAGGGAAGTTATGTTTTGACCTGCATGAATGCCTGTATACACTGTGTGTGTGTGTGTGTGTGTGTGTGTGTGTGTGTGTGCCTCTCTACACATGGACACACACACAAAACTGGCTTTATAATATATATATAATATGTATATATATATATATATAGTTTACAGACTAGTGAACAGGAAACAAGACAGCTACTATTTGTAAAATATATACATATATATGTATTTTTATTTTGATACCGGGTCTTTCTATTTATCCCTAGTTGGTCTGGAACTTGTTATGTGAACCAGGTTGGTCTTGAACTTATGGCAATCCTCTTGCATCTGCCTCCCAGGTGCTGGGACTACAGGCACCACATTCTGCTTTAACTTGCTTCAATCTAAAGTGTGGAAGAAGCGACACTGTGAGTTTCAGAGCCTACAGCCTGAGAAGTCTAGAAGCTCCATTTTCACCCTGTTGGGGTCTCAGGGTTTGAATATAAAATACTCCCTACAGGTCGGATTGTGAAGCTCTTTGGGGATGTGATGGAAGCTTTTATTTATTTATTTTTGTTTGTTTTATACAAGATCTTGCTCTAACCAAGCCTCCTGTGCTGGTTACCCATTATCGTCAACTTAATACAATCTAGAATCACTTGACAAATCACTCGAACTGAAGGCTCAATCAGACTGGCTTATGGCCATGTTTATGACAGGTTGTCTGTATTAGTGATTGATGTGGGAGGGCCCAGCTCACTGTAGGTGACACCATCCCTAGGCAAGTAGGCTGGGCAATATAAGAAAGGTAGAGAAGCATGAGCCAAAGAGCAAGTTAGCAAGTTTTTGTTTCAGTTCCTGCTTGAAGTCCTGACCTGACTTCACTCATCATGGCTTGTCATCTGGAAGTGCAAGCCAAATGAACCCTTTCCTCTCCAAATTGTTTTTGGCCAGAGTATTTTATCATAGCAAGATAAAACAAATGAGAACACCTCCAGATGATGGCATTCCCAACTGGCATCTGATTGCATCTTCCTGAAAGACCCTGAGCCAGAGCCATCTAAATGAGTCACTTTGGAGCCCACTAACACTGTGTAAGATAACAAGTTATTATTAGTGTTTAGTACCCTACGTTATAATGACTTGCTTCCAGTGCTAGATAGCTAATACAATTCAAATGGCTAAACTTTAAGTGTGTTAGGTTTCCATTACTATGCAAAACACAAATCTATTTATAAAGAGAAAGGGTTTGTTTCAACCCATAGTTTTGGGTCACAGCCAATTTACCCTTTTGCTTTGGGCCTGTGGTAACATATCTCAGCAGGAGGGAGTGCAGAGCAAAAGGTCTTCAAGATTGTGAATCAAAGGAGGAAGAAGAGACCAGGGCTCCATAATCCCCTTCAAAGACTCATTCTAAATGAGCAATGCCTCTTAATAGTGACATAGGTTGGGCACAAAACCTGTAATACCTGAGTCCTTGGCGGGTGTGGGGTGGGACTCCCAGATCCAAAGGACAGCACTGCATCAGGAGTCATGTATGCTGAGTCCGAGGGGTTGCCCTACAGAGTAACCAAAGTGGACTAGTCGGAAAACCTAAACTGGGCAAGGTGGTGCACACCTTTAATTCCAGCACTTAGGAGGCAGAGGAAGGTGGATGTCTGTGAGTTCGAGATCAGCTGGTTCCAGGACAGCCAAGGCTGTCACATAGAGAAACCCTGCCTTGAAAAACCAAAAAGAAAGGAAGGAAGGAAGGAAGGAAGGAAGGAAGGAAGGAAGACTTAAGAAGAGGAGTGGGCCAGTCAACACACTTGCTGGAGGAATAAAGAACAAAGAAAAGCAAAACTGATTCACTGGCTCTGTCATCCAAGCGAGGCAGGACTCAGGTCTGGGTACTGTGTCCTGTGCTAATTTTCTCACTCCATTTGACAACTTTCTCCCTAATGACCCTTACACTTGGTTGGCAGTAAGCACCATGAATGCTCCTCTCCTTTGCCAACCAAAATATTTGCCCTTTAAGTTGTTAGTTGCTGTTCTCATTTGGAAGAAAATACAGGTCAAGAAATTTCTTTGTATGTGTGCATAACTGGTGTCTGAATTGAGGTTTCATCTGTTTTGTTTTTGTTGTTTGTTCTATTTTATTTATTTACTTTGTTTTTTTTTTTTTTGGTTTTCCGAGACAGGGTTTCTCTATGTAGCCCTGACTGTCCTGGAACTCACTCTGTAGACCAGGCTGGCCTCAAAGTCACAAAGATCCACTTGCCTTTGCTTCCCCAGAGCCCAAATTAAAGGTGTGTGCCACCACCACCTGGCCAGAGACTTCAACTGTTTGACTGGCTTTTTAAGTTAATTTTAGTTGGATATGTGCGATCTCAAAGAAAGATGCCTCCTTTCAGACTCTCACGTTCCTTATGGTTCTGTTTTGGGACAGGAGAAAGAGGGAAGGGATGTGAGGATAACGCTCCAACAACAGTCTCCCTGCTCCCTGCTTTTTCCCCTCTCTTCTCCCTCGCTCCCTTGCAGCCTTCCTTGTGTCATCCTTACTTCTACCCTTTCTTCTTCTCCCCCACCCCATTCCTTCCTTTCTTTCTCCCTCTGTGCCCTTCCTCTCCACTAAAATTTCTTGGACGCCCATGTATTAGTCAGGTTTCAGTCACTGTAACAAAATGTCTGAGAATATCAACTCACCAGCGGTCAGACCAAGTTTATTAGGCTTCATTGTTTCTGGGCCTGTGTTGAGGATAAATCAAAATGGGGTGCACAGCCGGGCGATGGTGGCGCACGCCTTTAATCCCAGCACTCAGGAGGCAGAGGCAGGCGGATCTCTGTGAGTTCGAGGCCAGCTTGGTCTACAGAAATGAAATGAGACTAAACAAAGTACGTTTGGAGAAATGAGGTTATTTTCCAGCTCCAGTTGTTGTGCTGGGAACTGAACCTAGACCTTGAACCCCACCCCTGAATCATACCTACAGCCCCAAGTTGGGTGTCTCATTGGATGTATTTTGTCTGTCTACCGTTATAGTATGTAGCTTCAAGACCTCAGTAATTTGAATATCTTTCTTTATACTCATAGAGAAAGATGAAAACAGCACATTCATTTTCTCTGGAAGTCCTAATTAAATGTTCCTTGTACCAAAGGATTTCCTTCCAACCAAGTACCCAGGTACAGACCAGATTTCCTTTGTGCTCAACATATTTGCTGACAAAGAAAAGCAAGACAGTCTTTGCCATGACAATAGAAGATTAGATTGACTAAAATATGATAATGGTAAGGGGAGTATACACTATCCTGACACATTTTGTGGCGTGTGGCCACAGCTTCTACTAGACTTGAGATCCCTCTAAACTTAGCTCTTGAGCCTAAGAAGGTCATGAATGTAGGTTCTGGAGCCATGCAGGGATGATTCTATCCCCACTCTACTCTCTTACTGGCTCTGGGACTCTAAATGTCTCAATAAAATGGCCTGGAACTTGCCATCTGAGCCAGGATAGCCTTGAACTGGTTTTCTTCTTGTCTCAGGCACTGAAGAACTGGGATTATAGGTATGTATCACTACGACTGCCTTCTACTTCTTACAATTTTTGTAGTCAAGGAAATAATAGACATGAAGTTCATAATCCATTATCTGAAGTATAATAAATATTTTCATTATATCACAACTACCTCTACTATGTCCTGAGACCCAGGGTAGATGGGTCATGTCTACTTGGCAGGCCAATTCTATGATGCTTCTTTCTGATCCCCATATCCTGCTGCTCATATCCTCAGCAGGAGTTGTGACTTGATTCTAACAAACAGAACACAGCAAAAGAGAAATCACCTTTGTGATGTGGTGAGATTGTCTTCCTAGAGGCTCCCTACTACCTTCTCAGTTTGCATTCCTTGAAGCAAGCTCCTTTTTTTTAAGATTTTTTTAAAAATGTGCACTGGGGTTTTGCCAGCATGCAGGACTGTGTGAGGATACCAAATCCTTTGGAACAGGAGTTACAGAAGGTTGTGAGTTGCCATGTGGGTGCTGGAAATTGAACTTGGGTCCTTGGAAAGAGCAGTCAATGTTCCCAACCGCTGAGTCAACTCTCCAGCCCTATGCCTAGATTCTTAACCTACATAAAATGTGGGTTATGTTGTTCTAAGTCGCAGTCTATGAGAATTTGTTACATTGTGAAATATAACCGATTAGCAAACGCCTCTCGCCCCATTTCTGGTTTAAAGCCCATTGCCCCACTTCTTCAGCAACTTAACATCTATCCCATTACTTTGTAGCTATTAGTTTCCTTGTTTCTCCTACAGTGTGAGCTCTTCCAGGGCATAACCCTAGCTGGCCTGGAATTCTCCGTCATTCCTCGGTCTCCTGAGGGCTAGCATCCCCAGAACTTGCCGATGAGTATTAGCAACTAGTTTTCTGTGATAATTCTTATCCAGGCTTGTGAGCCATTAGCTCTGCATCATCTGAGTCTTTTCCAGGAAAAATTGCATCCTACTCTTAAGATAGTTTCACTCAGCCTTTCTGATTTAAAGTGGCGCACGCCTTTAATCCCAGCACTTGAGAGGCAAAGACAGGAGAATCTATGTGAGCTCGAGGCCAGCCTGATCTACAGAGCAAGTTTCAGGACAGGTTCCAAAGCTACACAGAGAAACCCTATCTCGAAAAACAAAAAACACAAGACAAAAACAAACAAAAATTTTCTGAATTAAATTTGTAAAAGGGTAACTGAGGAAGTGTAAATCGGGATTTTGAGAGTTTCCCAAACTGGAATGCCTTAGGGGGAGGGTGGCCACCGAGGAAAAAAGAGCAGGGTCACGTCCCTAAGCCTGCAACGGGCGGGACCGCCTCGTTGAAGCCCCAGTACCTCCAGGGGGCGCGGTCGTATCATAGGGGCGTGGCCCGGCCCCAGCATCTTCCCGGACAGTTGGCTCCGGGGGAGGGGCCGGGAGAGCAGGGCAGGGCTTCCTGTCTGCGCCTGCGGAATCGCCATTTGACCCCGGAAGTGTTGGCTGTGTGTAAGCTGTCACCGTGTACGGCGGCTGCTCGTCGCGGGTGTGGAGCCGGGAGGTGAGTGAGTGCCCGGTCCCCACCAGTGGAGCTCGGCAGGAGCCACGCTGTGCTTCGGGCACCTTCGGGCACCCAGCATACGGGCTTCACGGCGGGACCAGGCTTACATTGCCCCAGGGGCCGTGAGTCGCCCCAGCGAGGCCAAGAGAACCAGAACCTGGAGTTCCGGTTCGGTTTAAGGCTTGGCCCCAGAGTGGCCTGGGACAAACCCCAGTCCCCATCTCCTCCTCCCAAGCTTCAGTGTCCTCGGCTTTCATTCCTTCAGCATGTGTTTGTTGATCGACTCTCATGTGCCTGGTACAGAACTAGGCGCCGGGACTACAAACAACAGAAGAGACAAGGCTCTTGCCCTCGTGGAACTTAGAGTCTAGAGGAAGGAGACAGTCAGCCAGTAAATGCATAAAGCAATTAAAGATATGACAATCAGTCACAAGGACAGAGATTATTTCAGGGAAGCTCTGGGAAGGTTTCTAAACAGAGGGATGTTAAACCAAGACCAGCAAAGTGATGGGTGACAGTCAGAGAAACTGAGGCAGCAGTAGCCTTGGAGATGCTCCTTGGCTGTATAACAGTTGTTAGTTTTCTCGAAAACACTTTCTTAACGTTTGGCCTTTGCTGCCCTGCCCAGAATAAGAGGTATAGTGGTGCATGACTGTCCTGGTGTTTTACAACTCAAAGTCTGGTTTTTGCTTTACTTTTTACCCATACTTTAAGTGAAAACTCAAATCCTCTTTGATCCCCTGTCCTCTAAGTCATTTTTGCTTAAACTTCATGAACCTTGCACATTCGGCAAACATCATGACACTGATTATTAGCTGGGTGGCAGTTGGTTTTCTACCTGTTCTCCTGAAGACTAAGTTTTGTGAATGGCACCACCAGGTCAGTTCTTTGCCCATGTTGGTATTTTCTGAACATCGTTACCTGGCACATAGTAAGGACTGAAGTATCTAGAGCTAGGTGTGGTGACACATTTCTGTAATCCCAGTACTTAAGAGGCTGATACAAGAGGATTGGTTCAAAACCAGCTTAAGCTACATGAGACCCTGTCTACCCAGTCTCAAAATTTAAAATAAAAAGTACAATAAAGAAAAAAGAAGAAGAAAAGCCAGTAGGTGGTAGCGCCTTTAATCCCAGCGCTAGGGAAGCAGAGGCAGGTGTATCTCTGTGAGTTCGAGGCCAGTCTGGTCTACAAGAGCTGTCTTCCAGGACAGGCCTCAAAGCTAGAGAAACCCTGCCTCTAAAAAAAGAGAGAGAGAGAAGAAAAGAGCGAGCCAGATGTAATATTGCATGTTGTGATGTATGCCAGTACTCAAGAGGCTGAGGCAGGGGATTGCTGGAGCTAAGAACCAGCCTGTATCACAAGACATTGTCTCATAAATAGTTTAAAAGGTAAATTAAAGTGCCAAGGAAAGCATTTAGGAGAGTACTTAGTGTCTAGCAAGCACATTGCTGTTCTCTCGTCAGTATGTCTCATATCACCAGGGCTGGGCCACACAACCTGGTAACCAGTGGCTGATGATATCCTCAAAAATCTGTCAGGACATAGTGATTTCCTCCTGCTAGTCTTGATTTGTTTCTTGTTGTCATTGGGACTTTTTTACTGGCATGTCTTTTGAAAGGCTTAATTCCCTGATTCAACCAATACACGTGTTCTCACTAATAATAAGTGGTGTTAGAAATAGGGACCATGGAAGAGCTAGTCTGCTGGTTTGGCTTTGTGAGCTGTGTTCTCATATATGTGGGCACAGTGTATGTGTGTGGAGGTCAAAGATCAACCTCAGGAGTTGGAATTGTTCCTCAAGTCATCTACCTTGTTTGTTTGTTTGTTTTGCTTTTGAGATGGGCTTGTCTAGTAGACTGTACTGACTGGCCAAGGAAACTTTCACCTTCTGCTTTCTCAATGCAGAATTCCACGTTTTTAATGTGGTTTTGGGAACTGAACTCAGATTCTCATGCTTGTGCCGTCTGGATAATGCTGACTGAGCTATTTCCAAATCCACTTTGTGATTATTTTATTATTTTATTTTTGTTTGAGATTGAATCCAGGGACTTGCATGTGGTGAGCACAAGTTCTATCACTGAGCTGTACCCAGCTGACCAACTACTGCCTTTGAATCCAATTTGGCCCCTTCGTGGAAGGGATCATGTGTTGGCAGATTCCTATGGATTTTCTCTTCCTTCTGTTAGTTTGTCATGCCTTCCTCTGAAGCCTGGAGAAGTCTTGACACTCTCTATATGAGGAAGAGTCCATTGTCCCAACCCTTAAAAGACCGAAGGTCCCCTAAGAATTGAGAAGAGTTTCTTTTTCTTCTGAAGAATGTAACTCAGATGGACTAGACTAGCATCCGTGATGAGTTCTGTCCCCACCACAGCAAAGAAGATTGCTCCTCATAGTCTTTTATCCTTCATTTGGTGAGGCTGCATCTGCTAGGCCTGTGCTGATTATAGGAAAGACAGCAAGAAAAAGAACTGTGGGTAGTGTCTTCACAGTGCCCACAGGCTGCTTGAGTACAGCTTGAGGCCCTGGGTTCCATCCCAGCACTATAAAAACAAAACACAAAAAGTAGTCTAGGTCCTTTTAGCTAGGACTTCTTTCTTATGGGAGTGGAGTTATCTGGACGGTATTTTTCTTCAGAGCTGAGAACTGTTTTCAGCAAAAAAATCATCCCTTTACGCAGCAGATGCATACCAGGTCTTGAAAGCCCACATGAGGAGTTCACTGTGGCCAGGGGTCGATGCTGGTGCTGGGCTCAGTCCCAGACTAGGCCTTGCCTCTAGGAGTCTGTGTGTCTGCTCTCTTCTTCCCATCCATATTCCTTTCAGGAGGGTCACACTGCACAATGCCAGCTCTGCCCCTGGAGCAACTCCAGATCACGCACAAAGACCCGAAGACAGGAAAGCCAAGGACTTCGCCAGCGCTGGTGAGCCAATGTCTTGATGTTGTTCAGCCTGATAGCAACCAGCCTTGCAATTCCAGAAGCAAAAAGTAAATCTTTTTTTGTTCCAGGAATAACCCTAGGGCCAATGGCTACTGCTGAGTAGTTGAGACGCTGCTATGCCCTTGCAAGCCTAGTATAGAACTTTATTTCTGAGGAACAGTGGAAATTTGAATAGTATCTTCTATGTCAGGTCCCCTCCCCAAAGCATTTATTTTATTTCCAGTCAGTCTGAAGGCAGTTTTTGTTAGGATTTTTTAAAAATGCTGCAAGATCCCCAGTGGCAGTAGGCAGCAGAAATGTTGTAGGTTCCCGAATGGTGGTAGCAGGCCTTGTGGCGGCAGGCAGAGGACCCTAGGAGCAGCCAGTACCAGGCAGAGACAGCTGCAGGTCCCTGAGAGGTGGCTGGTCCAGGCAGGGAGATACATGGCTGGTCCCAGCTAGCTCGGCAGTGTGAGCAGGTGGTGGAGGCATATGGACAGACACATCATACAGAATAGAATTGGATATTTATTACTTAGAGGAGGGGGGGAAAGAAGAGGACAGAAAGAGAGAGAAGGGGGGGAGAAGTGGGGAGAGAGGCAGAAGCCAAGCTGCCTCTCCGAGAGGAAGATGGAAAAGAGTGAGCTTAGGCCGAAAGCTGAAGATCAGCCTGCCTCAGTGGATGGGGGAGGGAGTGGGCGTGGCTTGTCTCTTAAAGAGACCAAAATCTTAACAGTTTTGTTTTGGTTTTCTTTTCTTTTCTTTTTTTTTTTTTGTTTTTTGTTTTTCGAGACAGGGTTTCTCCGTAGCTTTGGTGCCTGTCCCAGAACTAGACCAGGTTGGCCTTGAACTCCCAGAGATCCGCCTGCCTCTGCTTCCTGAGTGCTGGGATTAAAGGCGTGTGCCACCACTGCCCGGCTTCATAACAGTTTTGATTTAGTCTGAGCTGGGCTAGAAATGGCTCCAAGTCCTGGTTTGGTGATTGACCTTTGTGGTGGCCTTAAGATTGCATGTAGGAATATAAATATGTGTTTAAATCTAAGCAGCTGCTCATGCTTGTATTGGATCAGTGATTTCAGAGGTCGGGCCAGTCTCTTATCTGGGGCAAGAAGTGAGACATACAGGGCCTCTGACAGGGCCTGTGAGACCGAAAACTAAGGAGGCTGTAAACGTGCCAGTTCCCACCATCAGAGAGAGATTAGAGCCATGGAGAGGTGCCAGGCTGCTAAAGAAAGGGACAGAAGTGGGGATTTGAGTCCTTGTACCCACTTGTAGATTTCCTAAGAATATGAGCTTACGTGCGCAAGGTGGGAAGAAATAGTTTCTGGAGGCTTGAGTAAAGTTGTGGGAAATGGGAGCTAAGTGTTTTATTTCGTGCATTTTGGTTGGCTTTATTATTTCCTCTTCAGTCTCTAATAATAGAACGTAACATGTATGGGATACCTTGTGTGGGCCAAACCATTCTGAGCAAAGCACCCAGATTAACTTTGCTTCTTCCTTTTTCCCCCTCATTTATAACTAGTTCTTTGAGAATTTTGTGCAGATTCATCCCTGATTCCTCACCCAGCTAACTTTGTGTCCTCTTGTTTTATGAAGCCTATCAAGTCCAGTTGGTGCTGACCATATGCTCTTGGATGTGTGACCTTTCTTAGAAGGTGCTCAACCCACCAGCGACTGTGCCTTTAGAGAGAACTGACTTTACCCTCCATCAACTGTTAGTTGCCAACAGTTCCAAAGCTAGGGATGAGACTTCGTGCCCACCTCCCCAGGTTACCCCTGTGTTTAAACTGGGTGTTGATGGTGAATTAGCTCTGTCTGGACAAAGCAGGAGGGGAAGGAAGGCCCTGGCTGGGGAACTCGGGAATGCTTGAGGGAGCCTGACTCTTAGATCAAGCACAGATCCCTGGGGGTAGCACTATGACAGAGCTAGTGAACATGGGCTTTGTACATATTTGGCAAGTTCTTTAACCTCACTAGGTCTCAGGATCCAAAGAAAGATAATAATGGGCTAATAATAGTGGGGTGACTGTGAGGATTACATGAACCCTCTGTGAGTTAGTCCTCTGCCTGGAGCAGAGCAGTTAGGATGGTGAGAACAAGTAGCAGCTGTGACGTTGAATGGGGTAGGGTGGGGCGACAGATTAGCTCAAAGACAATTTCCTGGTCTTGTTGGTCAGACTGCGGAACATTAAGCTCCTGAAACATTGTCCTGAGTGTAGGTAGGGTTTTGTCTTTTGAGTCTCAGCTTGGGGCAAAAAGATCTCTGCCCTAGGAGCAGGCGTTACAATGCCTCTTCAGAGTGAGGGTAGAGCTTATTGATGTTAATTGAGTAGTTACTTACTTTTTAAGGATCATGCACTTGAAAAGCCTGTAAGAAATATGGTTGGACCCTTAGGCCATTCCTTGAAGGACAGTAAAAAAATGAGTTCCTGTCCAGATGTAGAGGCTTGAAGGGCAGTGTTTCCCTAGTTTTCCAGAGCGGAGAGGCCCTAAACGAGTCGTATTGAAAGGTGGGGTTAAACTTGATTAGGAGAGACACCCCTGGAGCTGCTACTCTCCTGCTCTGAAGCCATCTATGGCTACTCATTATGGAGTAGAGTTCCCTCTTATGGGGCTTGTCATTCTAAGCCCCTCAGAGGCAAGATCTGGCCATTCATTCTCTTGTTCAGCTGATGAATGTGTGGAGGTCCTCTCAATGTCAAGCCCGGAGGAAGTATCATTGAAAGCCAGTAAACTGCATATTTAAAATCAGCACTTTGATTTTTTTTGACATTGGTAAGATATCAATGAAACTGTCACCATCACCAACGGCCAAGACAGTGGACATTTTACCTTCCCTAAAAGTCCCCTGTGTTCTTCTATAAGCCCCCCCCCCCCCCCCCATACCCAACAAAACTGATCCAAAAGTGACTTTGATGCTGTTTAGCAAGTGCTGTAGTCAGGTGAGCACAATGCAGGTTCTGGGCAGAGCTGTGGTAAACCCTAGTCTGGGAGGCAAGAAGGTCAGAAGGACAAGCAGTGAGCTCAGGGTAGCACGTGTGTTGGTCTGCATTGTAAGCTTTGCTTCCAATCCTGCCTCAGATGCCTGTTTAACCTCAAGACCTTAGGAAAGTTCTTGGACCTTACTAAGTCTTTGTTTCCTCCTCTGACAGATAAGGAGAATACTGTCTCCCTTTTAGCTAATTGTAGATGAAAAAGGAAATAGTGAGTTTAGCGTACCTGCTCCATCAATTGTGGCACACACCTTCAGTCCCAGAGGCAGGCAGATTTCTATTAAGTCTGAGCCCAGCCTAGTCTACATAGCAAATTCCAGGCCTGCAGGACTCTATCATCACACTTGAGAAAGAAAGAAAGAACAAGGGAGGGACAGGGAAGAGAGGGCAAGGTGTCTTTCCTCCACCTAAAAATCCTTTTCCTCCTCTTGGTTCAGTTTAGGTACTGGCTCACCTGAGAAACATTCCTTTTCCAGGGGCTGCTATTTTCCTCCTGTGCTCCTATGACCCTCCAGGCCTAAGTTGTCGCTTCATCTGTTTAGGGCTTTCTTGGTGACTTAGATGTGCATCTTCCTCTGTGGAACGTAAACCTTGTGGCTTGGAGAAGACTCGAGACTCTGATCTGAGACCTGCAGCACAGGTCTTTTCTTGTCCCCAACACCTGTTAGGGACCCTGTAAAGAGTGTCAGCAGGTCAGGGAGGAAGGAAGCTTGGAATGCAAGGAGATAAGCTCTCTTTTCAACAGATTAGTGGCTGGAAGGCTGCCACTCTGCAAATGGGAGAGGGTCCCCTAGACCTGTATGCTAAAGGACTGCAGTGAATCCTTATGAAGCTTGTGGTACTTGCGTACTCCTGCAGAGGCCCACAAGGTTCTTGATTGTTCTAGAGCTGGCTGTGGAAGTGGGAGTCTGTGGCTGATAAGAGCTGAGGCCTGGCCCTCCTCCTATTACAACTTCCCCTGAGAAAGCCACTCTCACTTAGACTGGGGTGAAAGCTGAGCCCTCGAGCCCATCGGCTCTTCATTAGGTGAACAAAGTGGGGTTTGTTCATGGTTAGGCTGGGAGAGAGAACTTGTGACTCTGAAGCCGAGATCTGCAGCTACTTGATAAAAATCTTTAAAAAAAATTAGTAGAGGTTTTTTGTTTTGTTTTTTTTTGGCTATATAAAGGAAAATAGTGATATATAGAATATGATGCTGTTATATCAGATTATATCAGAGAAAGAAAACAGACTCAAACAGATACTTGATGTGCTTACCCTATATTCTAATGTAAAAACCTAGAAAGGTAACTAGGACAGCATATGGTCAGTGGTTTCTCCGGGGAGGCCATGGAAACGAGGAATGTGCTTCCCCTCTCCCTTCTCTCTCTCCTTTCCCTCCTTCTCGCCTTTTATTTCTCCCTTCTCCTCCTTAACCTCTCCCCACCACACCAGGGATTGACCCCAGGTCCTCACATACCCATTCTGACCACAGAGTAAAACAAGATGCTTATGTGTAACTTGATAATTAAATATTAATCTTAAAAATATATGTTCACTGTTTAAAAATGGGAAAATAAGGTCAAACATGATGACACCTTTATTGTAGCACATGGGAGGCAGAGGCAGGTAGATCTCTTAAGTGTGATGCCAACTGATCTACACAGTGAGCCCTTGTCTCTAAAAAAAGTCCTGAAAAATATATTGAAGCCATAATTCCCTAACCTCAAGATAGCCATTATAAATTTTGGGGATTATCCATCCCCTTCTTTTTTTAATTTTTATTTTTATGTAAATTGGTGTTCTACTTGCATGTATATCTGTGAGGATGCCAGATCCCCCGGAACTGGAGTTATAGACAGTTGTGAGCTGCCATGTGAGTGCAGGGAATTGAACCCTGGTCCTCTGGAAAAGCAGCCAGTGCTCTTAACCTCTGAGCCATCTCTCCAGAACCTTGTTTTTTTACAAGTGTGTGCCAATATGTGAATACATAGACTTTAAAAAACATTCCAAACCTGTTTATATTAGAGTTTTGTGTCCTTTTTCTTACCTTAATCTGTCCCACACCACTAAAAATTCTCTAAAAACATGTTTTTAACAACCGCCTGTGTTCTCTAGGTGCAACCATGGCGCCTTTGTTAGACACACTGGGTTCTTTATACTTACAAGCTCCTTGGAGGGTCTCTGGTTGGAACAGCCAAGTACTGTCATTGCTGTGGGTTGGCAAATGGGCCCTCACTGACTAACCTCTGCCACGTTAACACGTGGTTTTTGGATCCGTAGCACCCTGAGCAGAAGGCAGACCGGTATTTTGTGTTATACAAACCGCCCCCTAAAGACAACATTCCCGCCCTAGTGGAGGAGTACCTGGAACGCGCCACCTTCGTAGCCAATGACCTCGACTGGCTCCTGGCCTTGCCTCACGATAAATTCTGGTGCCAGGTAACATTCTATCAAAATTAACACTAAGACAAAGCACATGACATGTCCTTGGTTGGTTGCTGTTTTTCTCTCCCTTAGGAGTTGCTTTTTTGTCTACCTTCCTTGATCCTTAACAGCAAATAGTGGTTTGGATTGCTGTCTCATGTTGCAACCTTCCTGATGTTTACTCACTGTCCAAGTGTCATTTTAAGAAACTTGTGTTTAGCCCTGGGCTCATTCATACCTCTTTGGTCTCTTGGGTTGGAGTGTTTGCAATAAGTCAGGGCTGATGGGCCATGCACACCTGTGTAGTCTAACTCAGGAATTGATCCTTGCTGTCTTCTCTCCTGGCTTAGGTTGTTTTTGATGAGACCCTGCAGAAGTGCCTGGATTCATACCTGCGCTATGTACCCCGAAAGTTTGATGAATGGGTGGCCCCTACCCCTGAGGTTGCTGACATGCAGAAGCACCTACACCGCAGCATTTTCCTCACCTTCCTTCGAATGTCCACTCACAAGGAATCCAAAGTAAGCCTCTGATTCCGTGACAAGTCTCCATTCGACACCCTCTGCCAGGCTCTACCCCTGGGAAAAAGCTCTGAGAGTGTCAGCTTTCCTCTGTGTCTGCCCTCTTTATTCCCGTGTTTTGGGGGAAAAAATCTGTGCCACCTTTTCCCCTTATCCTCTAATCCACCAGCCTGTCCACAGTACACCCAGTGTTTTCATCAGCCGGAACCCAGAGTCCTTGTCACAGCTGACAGTGCCTGTATTCATGTGACAGAGGGTAACGACATTGACTCTGACTTTCTGAAGAACTCGTGTACTTTTTTAAAGATCTATTTATTCGTGTATTTTTTGTGTGTGAGTCTTTGTCTCCATGTATGTCTTTGTGTGTGTATGCTTTGTCTTTATGCGTACCAGAAGAAGAAATTTGTTACCATTACAGATGGTTGTGAACCATCATGTAGTTGTTGGGAATTGGACTCAGGACCTCTGGAAGAGCAATTGAGTGCTCTTAACCTCTGAGCCATGTCTCCAACCCTCATATGTTTACTTTGAAAAACATTTATTTTGTTTTTAATTAATTTGTATGTGTATATTTCTCCATATTTATATATGTGCATGTGTGTGGGTGCTGAATATTCCAGAGAAGGTGTCATATTTCCTGGAGCTGCAGTTATAGGTGGTTTTGAACCACCCATGTAGGTGCAGGGTCTTCTGCAAGAGCCATAATCACTCTTAACCACTAAAGCATCTCTCTAGACCCTCATGTATGCACTTAAAAGAATCATTACTGGGAGTTTGCCTTAGTGGTAGAGCCTGGCATGATGAGTAGTCATCTCCAATACTGAAAAACATCATCAATGCTGTCTTTAATTATTCAATATTATAAAAATATGAGAAAGGTAATAAGTGCTACTCATAAAAATCCCCTGGCTTAAAGTTATGACTGGTTTTTAAAATTGTATTTCTTTATTTATTTGGGTGTGTGTGTGTGTGTGTGTGTATAGGTGCATTTGTCAGAGGACAGCTTGCAGGAGTTGGAGTTGTTTCTCTCCTTCTGCCATGTGAGTCCTGGGGATAGAACCCAGGTCGTCAGACTTGGCTGCAAGTGCCTTCACCCACTGAGACACATTGTCAGCACTCAGTAACACTACTATTGGTACATGTTCCTTCAGGGACTTTTTGTTCTTTGAGTGTGTGTGCATATGTGTGCACATGTGTGGAAGTCAGGGGACAACTTGTGAGAGTGGCTTCTGCTTCTACCCTATAGGTCCTGGGGGTTGAAGCAGGTCATCAGACTTGTTGGCAAGTACCTTCACATACTGAGCCATCTCACCAGCCTTCAGAGTCACTACTGTTAATGTGCATGTTCCTTCATGGAATAGAAAAACTCTTTAAAAATCTTTGTTTTGAGAGGAATAGTAGCTTTAATTCCAGTAGTTCAGGAGGTAGAGGCAGACAGATTTCTGTGAGTTTAAGTCCAGCCTGGTCTACTTAGTGAGACCTAGTTTTTTTAAAAAGATATATTTTATTATTATTATTATTATTATTATTATTATTATTATTATTTTGGATTTCTCTGTGTAACCCTGGCCTATTTTAGAACTCACTGTAGGCTAGGGTGGCCTTGAACTCAGATCCACCTGCCTCTGCCTTCTGAGTGATGGGATTAAAGGTGGGTGCCACCACTGCCCGGTGTATTTTTATTACTTTTAATTATATGTGTATGTGTGTTGGTATGTCCAGGTGTGTATGGAGTCTAGAGATACCAGATCCCACTGGAGCTGGAGTTGTAGGAAGTTGTAAACTGCCCTATGTGAGTACTAGGAACTGAACTCAAGTTCTCTGAAAAAGCAGTATGTGTTTTTAACTGTTGACCCATTTCTACAGCCACTGGAAATATTTTTTTTAAGATTTCCGTTTAATTTTTACTTATGTATGTATGTGACCATATGTGTCCGTGGCGACGGAAGCCAGAAGAGGGTCCTCTGCAAGAGCAGCACTCTGGCCCTTCCTTCAGGAATTTTTGTTGGCTGGGAACAGAGAATTTAAAGACATGGATCTTGGAGTTGAGGTGTAGTTTGGTAACACAGTATTGCCTAGCGTGCTTATATAAGGCCCTGGATCTGGTCCCTGACACCACAGTGAAAAAGTATCTTGTTTTATTTGCTTCTTTGTGTGGAGACAAGATCTCCTTGTGTAAGCCAGACTGACCTCCAACTCTTCATCCTCTGTCTTAGCATCTAAATATTGATATGTATGTTTTTTAATATGCATGTACACCACATGTGTATATGAGCCCTCAGATCAGACATCAGACCCCTTGGAACTGGAGTTATAGGAGGTTGTGAACTACCATGTGGGTGTGAAAACTAAACCTGGGTCCTCTGCAAGAGCAGTAAGTGCTTTCTGCTGAGCCATTTCTCCAGCCCCTCTGAATACTGATTTTGTTTTGTTTTTTTGAGGCAAGTTTTCTCCCTGTAGCCCTGGCTATCTTAGAACTCACTCTGTAGACCAGGCTGGCGTCAAGCTCACAGAGATCCACTTGCCTCTGCCTCCTGAATGCTGGTATTGAAGGCCTGTGCCACCACACCTGGCTTTGAATACTGACTTTTTACAGGCACTCACCAGCAAACCCAATGGATCTTAATTTTTAAATCACATTTTCATTATAATTAAATTCCAAATATATGCATATACCTGAGTGAAAGTTTGGTGCATACAGAACAGGAATCCCATGTTCCTCTCACACCACTATATACTTACCACTGTTTGTTTAATGTCTCTTGAGTTTGCTTATTTTGTTGAACTGTTTTTATGTAACCCCAGACACTGTGCTGATTTACCCATAATACTTAAAAACAAACCCCAGCTGACTCTTTGATGGTGTTTCTGTTTTTGTTTACATGAAACTGCAGAACTGCTATAATTCTGGGTCTTCATAAAGCTCAGACATAAGGTATAGCCTGTCCCCAGCTGAAGATCATCAGTGTGGTTTCTCATGAGTCTGCTGTTGCGCTGTCTGCACATTCAGCCTCCATTCTCTCTCTGTACTTTCCCCTTAGGATCACTTCATTTCTCCATCTGCATTTGGAGAAATCCTCTACAATAACTTCCTCTTTGACATCCCAAAGATCCTGGACCTCTGTGTGCTCTTTGGAAAAGGCAACTCACCACTCCTCCAGAAAATGATAGGTACGTAGAACGTAGGACCTGGGGGTACACATGCCAAACCAGAGGTTACAAATGCTTTGTTTCCACAGTACAGGAGTATTAGAGACAAGTGGTGCTGGGAAATTACCCCACAGTTGTAATATATGCATACATACATAATACACACATAGATGTGTCAATTCTGAAATAAATGAGGGAGTCAAAACAAAACAAAACTGTGCCAGGCAGTGCCTCAAGAATCTGTGAGTCTTGCTGGGTGGTGCATAACCACAATCCCAGCACTCAGGAGGTTGAGGCAAGAGGGTTGTGAGTTTGAGGCCACCTTGGGCTACATGCCATACTGACTATTAAATTGGGACCTTGTCTCAAACAACAGCCAAAACAAAATGTCTGGATTTCTTAGTGTTAAATAGGTGTCAGTCAGTGGTATGAATGAGAAATTTGCTTTGGCAATGAAAGTCAGATTACAATGACATTAGCCTTCTTTGGAATGTGGCCTGGGCTCTGTCATGATATGCATATCTTACTTGTTATCTCCATTGGATGCACACAGGAGCTGTCTGGGATCAGTGCTGTCATTGTCCCCATTTATAGATGAAAAGACTGAGGCTGAACTGTAAGGGACTTGCCTGAAAGTCTGTAGTAATCAAGAAGCCAAGCTGTAACTCAACAGTTATGGAGAATTGACCCTAGAACTCTTGTTCTTTCTGCCCCTGCTTCAGGGATAATGGGGCTGCCTCCAAAATATGCAGCATTGCAGAGAGCAGATGGGATCATAGTTTGGAGACTTTGTGTGTGATTGTGAAAAGAGTAGACACTAAGTTGTATTTCCTAACACAGAAGTGGGCTATATGTTCACTCAGAAATGGAAGTGGTAGGGGTTGCTGCAGAGGATATGTCTCAGTTAATTCCCTTTTTAACTGTAGTTCGTAGTGTTGGGCCTGGAACAGGGTGGTGTTCATTCAAGCACTCCTGCCAGACTTCCTCAGCCTCGGACTATAGGGTATAGTCTTCTAAATATCTCAACCTTCCTCATCCTCAGACTATAGGGTATAGTCTTCTAAATATCTGATTGCAAAACTGGGTAACCCTTGGGGAGCCTGAGGTAAGAGCTGTATAATTTCAAGTTCAGCCTATACTATATAGTGAATCCTGGCTTTAAAAAAAAAAAAACAAAAACAAAAAACGGGGCTGGAGAGATGACTCAGATGAAAGATGAATTTCATAGATTTTGAGAATTTTCTTTTTGTTTGAATTTTTAAATTACATTTCAAAATTTTCCTTCATATGGGAGTAGGTTCTCTCCATCTACTAAGTGGATCCTGGAGATCCAACTTAAACTGAGGTCATAATCTCGGTGAAAGGTACATTTGCTTGCTGAGCCACCTTGCCGACTGTCTTGGTAGATCTCTGTTGCTGTGATAATCACCATGACCAAAAGTGAGCTGGGGAGAAAAGGGTTTGTTCAGCTTACAGTTCCATATTACAGAGCATCATTGAAGAAGTCAGGGCAGAAACTCAAGTTAGAAATGGAAGAAGAAGCCACAAGGAATGTGGCTTACTGGCTCACTCTCCATGGCTTGCTCAGCCTGCTTTCTTATACCACCCAGGACCACCTGCCTGCGTGTAGTACCACCTACAATTGCCTAAACTGCATCAATCTCAATTAAGAAAATGTCCCACAAGCTTGGCTACAGGCCAGTCTTGTGGTGGCATTTTCTTAATTGAGGTTCTTACTTCCCAAATTACCCTAGTTTGTGTCTAGTTGACATAAAACTAGCCAGCATGGTAATACCTTTATTTTGTTTCTTTGTTTGGTTGTTCGGTTTGGTTGGTTGGTTTTTCAAGACAGGGTTTCTCTGTGGCTTTGGAGCCTGTCCTGGAACTAGCTCTTGTAGACCAGGCTGGCCTCGGACTCACAGAGATCCACCTGCCTCTGCCTCCCAAGTGCTGGGGTTAAAGGCATGTGCCACCACTGCCCGGCTCTTTTCTTTTGTTTTTTGGGCTGTTTCTTACTCTCTAGCCCAGATGGACCTGGAAGTTGATACATAGCCCAGGCTGGCCTTGAAGACAGCCTCCTGCTTCTGCTTCCCAAATGCTGGAGCCTTCTTAATAAACTGACAAGGTTGGCATTGGGTATCAGCTATTAGCTTTCGGAAGCAGGACTCATCAGTTGGTTTCTCTTGAGCTCTGTTGTACATCGGGAGAAAATGTGGTCGTTGACGATCTGTGTGGCAGTGTCTCCTGCTCACCGCAGGCCTGTCTGGGAAGAGGAGCTCAGAGGATGCCACTGCTTAGTCTTTACCTTTGTAGTAGTTTTATTTTTTTTTAAGATCAATTAGTTTATCTTAAGATAATAAGCAATTTTCAACTTTTATTTATTTTTTATATGTGTGGTGCTCTGCCTACATGCATGTGTGTCCTGAGAATAACCCAGGTCCTCTGCAAGAGCAGCCAGTTCTCTTAACTGCTGAGCCATCTCTCCAGTCCCAAGATATATTTATTTTTATTTTATATGTATAGATGTTTTGCTCCACATATATATGTACACTCTGTGTGTGCCTGACACCCATGGAGGCCTGAAGAGGACATCTGGTCCTGGGGACTGAACCTGAATCCTCTGCAAGAGCAGCAAGCACTCTTAACTGCTGACTGTTGAACCGTCTCTCTGGGCCTGATTTGATTTTGTTTTTTAGGAGCTTTGTGAGTCTTTTGTTTGGTGTTGGTTTTTTTGTTTTGTTTTTTTGAGACAGGGTTTCCTGTGTAACTTTGGAGCCTGTCCTGGAATTCGCTCTGTACACCAGGCTGACCTCGAACTCACAGAGGATCTACCTGCTTGTGCCTCCCAAGTGCTGGGATTAAAGGCCTGTGCCACCATTGGAATCTGATAAAGAAAAGAGACTCTGAAGACCCCAAGGATAGATTATGAAATTTGAGTTATCTTTCTGGGCTTAGTGGTGCATGCCTTTAATCCCATCACTCAGGAGACAAGGTGGGTAGATCTCTTATTTTGAGACCAGTCTGGTCTACAAAGAGAGTTTCAGGACAGCCAGGACTGTTGCAAAGAAACCTTGTCTCAAAAATACCAAAGGAAAAAAATATGAAATTGGAGTTACTTGTTGCTTATAAAAAAAAATAAAATCTCTATTTTTCTGGCAAGCAGTGAGGAAATGTTGTGGGTGGTCTGGGTGGTCAGGGTGGCAAGAGGAATATGCCATGGCCCAGAGAGTGCCTATGTCAGAGAACTACCTGAGGAGGTGATACATGTCTTACGGTGGGGTGAGCTCCGGAGATCATTCCAGGCAGAAGGAAGAGACAGTCTGTTGTCTGAGGTTGAGGATGGTTCAAGGGATGTTTCTATTGCAGGGAATGGAAGCAAGTTGGCCTAGAATGCCAACAGGGACTAGATTTCTCAGGGCTTTGTGTGTCATAGAAGTTAAGGCTTGCCCTGGAGGATCAGGGCAAGAGGAACTAGCAGGAGCAAAGGTTGTGGAGGGGCTGGCTCAGACTTTCCTTGTCTGTGGAGGAGGAGGGTGTAGATGATCCAGACACACCTTCATAGATTACACGGTCAGCACCTAAGGGAGGCAGGAGCCCTGAGCTAAGGAGGCTGTGCTAGAAAAACTCAGCTTTTTTGGAGTAAATACTATCTATCCTAGATGGTGCTGATAAAAAGCCCAGCTATTTGCTTACTCATCAGACTCAACTGGAAATTGATTTCCTTCCTGCTTAGGTATCCTGGAATTGGACTAAGGCTACAGAATTATCCATATTGTATGCTCTGGCCCTCATATACTGTGCAGGAGAGAAACAGAGAGAGGAGAGAGAAAAACCTGTTTCTCCCCAGATAGTTCCTCTGTCCTGCTCTTGGCCATGTACCCCTTTGAACTCACCCTTTGGCCTTCTCAAACAATACTAAAATCAAAGCATTGTCTGGCACTTGCATAAAAACCAGACCTCCACAGAAGTAGGGGGCTCAAAGCTGCCTACGAGCCTGAGAGGCAAAAATTCTATCTTAGACTTTTCAGGGCATTGGTACTTCTCATCCTCACGTCCCCAGCTATGGTTCTTCCTGTCTTCCTCCCCCATCATGTGGACAGAGAAACACTGGGTTCTGTCCCAGCTACCATGTGCTGTCAGCACGCTCGTGCAGCAGCAGGTGGAAAGCCGTAAACATCGGCAATGGGCTCCATCTGGACAGAACAACTACAGATGTGTGCCAAGTCTGTCTCTGTGCATTGCTCCCGCCTCCTGTTTGCAGGAGGGTGGATTGAGATGGTAGCACCTTCAAAAGTAAAAACTTCCACACATTTCTCCCTGGCATCTCCTCATACTTTTGAGGTGTGGCTTGGCAAGAATCCTGAGCTATTGTAGGTTTATTGAATAAAGGAATTATAATTCCCAATTTTCCTGGCTAATGCAAGTCCCAGTTCAGTTTGGTCACTCCCTGGGGACATCAGGACTAGCTGGTTTGACCAGGGCTACTCTTTGTTTTATGTAATTCAGAGGTACTTGAAAAGTTAAATTGTACTGAATAACTTCCTTTCTCAACCCTGGAGAGGGTTCTCAGTGAGGACCAAGCTCAGTGCCAGCTGGGCCTGAGACAATACTCATTATTCTCGATTCCCCCACAGACAGACCTAGGGAACGGGAGAAAGGTCACAGCATGCCTATAATCAATGTAATGTGTCCCCATCCTCCTGACCTCTCCCCATTTCTTCCCTTCCCTTCTCTTTAGGAAACATATTTATCCAGCAGCCAAGTTATTATAATGACCTGGATGAAACCGTTCCCACCATACTTCAGGTACCGTCTCTCTTACCCCGCCCGGGAGAGAGTAAGTTGGACTTTTCTTCAAAAACCTGAGGAAATGTTTGCTTTCCATTCCTTTTCCAGACACATCTTGAAGTGTGGCACAGGGGTAGAGTGCAAAGCCCCAGCAGATTCCATCTCCAGCAGGAGAGAGAGGGGAGAGGGGGGAAGAGGAGGAGGGAGAAAGAGAACTCGTCTCCCAGATTTCCTCTTTGTCCTGTTCTCGACTACAAGTCTTGTGATTCACCCTTTGCCCTTCTTGAACAAGACTGAAATCTAAAGATTTCACTTATACAAAAGGATTTGGTTTGCATTTTTTTATTTTCTAGCAGCCCTATATTTCCAAAAGTAACTTTACTCCTTTCAGAGGCCTGCATTTCTCAAATAGGAACTATGAAGGTTTAAAAAACCATTTCATGAAAGAATAACGTGTACTGTAAAAATATGAGGAATGGGGCTGGAGAGATGGTTCATCAGTTAAGAGCAGTTAAGAGGACCTGGGTTCAATTCCCAGCACCCACATGGCAGCTTATAACTGTCTGTATGTACATGCAAGTAAAACATCAATGTACATAAAATAAAAATATATAATTTTAAAAAAGAAAATATGAGGAATGTTAAAAAGCTGAAAGGAGCTGGGCATGGTACCTCATGTCTGTAATTCCAGCTCTTGGCAGCTAAGTTCAAGGCCTAAGTTATAGTAAGACCCAGTCTCAAAAAAAATGTACAAAAAGTAAACAATCATAGAGAATATTATTCTTCCGTAACCCCACCATAAAGAGATCCCTACACATGCATTTGTTTTAAGTAACTTTTGGAATAGTTATATGGTAGCCTGTTTAGCAATAATATATCAGCACTGAGGAGGCAGAGGCAGGAGGATTCCTGTGAATTGGAAGCCAGCCTGGTCTACATAGTAAGTTCCAGGCCAGCCATGGCTATAAAGTGAGACCCTGTCTCAAAAAAACAAAAATAAAAATTTAATTGCAAAAACAAAGATAATATTTCCCAGAAGGATGGTTTAGTAGGTAAAGGTGCCTGCCACCAAGCCTGAGGACCTGATTTTGATTCCCAGAACCCACATAGTATAAGGAGACAATGAGCTCCCACAATTGTCCCCTGACTTTTACGCACATGTCCATACACACACACACACACACACAGATTAAGAAGGAAGAAAGACAGTACTACCAATTCATTCTTACTTGATTTTATAACAGGTTCATTTTCAACTCTGTTAATTTGTCTTTTGTTAATAAAGCTCTGGTGATCACTGAATGTGATGGCTCACATCTGTAACCCCTGCACTTGGGAAGTAGAGACAGGAGGATTAGGGGTTCTAGATCTTCATCCTTATCAGCATAATGAGATCAAAGGCCTGCATGAGACCCTTTTCAAAACAACACGTACACACATATGTAAAATCACCCTATAAGCTGTCATCTACAAAGGAGTCTAAACATTTCTTAAATGTTGCTGAAGGTATTTCTCAGGTATTATCATATTTTGTTTAGTCTGTCCAGTCAAGTCATAGATGCGGGATTCTTGGGACTTTATATTTTATATGCATGTTGTATGTGTGCTTACTAAAGATGGAAACTCGGAGTTCTGTTTTTGAGACCGGATCTCACTGTAACCTTGGCTAGCCTAGAACTAACTATGTAGACCTGGTTGGCTTTGAATTCAAAGAGATTCACCTATCTCTGCCTTCTGAGAGCTGGGATTAAAGGTGTACATTACCTCACCTAGCCTGGAACCAGGGTCTTACTTGGCCTGCATGCTGTCACTGAGCCACACCATCAACCCTACATGGTTTGTATTTAATCCTATTCACCATCCCATTGGATGGTCTGTCCCGAGGTTCCAAGGCAGTTCTTGGGTCACCTGCTCCTAGTTGTGGGGTGGGGATCCTAGGTGCTTGTTCAGGATATGAAAGAGAGCCCTTTTTGCCTTTCTTAGGTCTTCAGCAATATCCTCCAGCACTGTGGCTTGCAAGGGGATGGGAGCAGCACCACACCCCAGAAACTCGGAGAGAAGGGTCGGTTGACTCCTAGTGACATGCCTCTCTTGGTACGTTTGTTCCTGGGCCCAGCTTCTTTGGGCTAGAACCCTTAAGCCTGGTTACCCTGGAGCTGAGATGATCGCTAATGCTGCCGGGCACAGTGGTTTCTTCCCTGCCTTTGACCTCTTTTTTTGATATAATCTGTATTTCTACCTGCCCTGTGGGTTAAGCTTTAAAGAAGGTTTTGTGGAGTATCAGAAAAGTACTAGGACTTGAGAACTGGGTCCACCCTCAGGTAGTTTTGCTCTGTGGGCCCACTTCTTGAGCCAGTCATCGATTCAGTGAATATATCCCAAGAGACTATGCTGAGTCTGGGGGATAAAGCAGAAGCAGTCATGGTACCCATCTCATGGCGTTAGAACTTTAATGAGAGTGACATACAGAAAGTACACTTCACAGGACCTTGGTGCTGTGCTAAGCACTACAGACAGCTGGGATGTGGCAGCTGTGAGCTACCTTCTTGGCATTTGCCATCTGGTGGGGAAATATCTGTTGAGCAAGTGCTTCAGAAGAGTACGTGCCAGGAGCCATGGGAACAAATCATCTTAGCACTCTGAGCCTCAGTTTCTTTATCTGTAACTTGAAAAGCCACCCAGCTTGCTTCTTCAGGATGGCATGAAACTCAGCAGAACAGATGAGCAAACACCCTGTGTTCTGTGTACCCTCTTCAAAATGTGAGCAAGGGGTGGGCTTGCTGCTCCTGTCTCCCCAGGCTGGATGGTTTCTCTCGGCACAGTGTTCAGATTCAGTGTTCATTTTCCTGCAGCATAGAAGAGAGACTATCAGAATTATAGGTGACGTTAGCCATCATTGAGTGCAATGGCAAACTATGAGACAGGATGACTACATGGCCCAGGTTGCCCTCCTAGAGATGGACCATTCAGGCTGTCTCTGGGGCCTCCACTTCCCTGTGTCTCCTCTCAAGCAACTTCCTGCCTGCTGGGGACTCTGCACTCTGCAGAGCTGTCTTGGAGCTTGAAAATAATACTGTGTCTTCTCTTGACAACAGGAATTAAAGGACATTGTTCTCTACCTATGTGACACCTGCACCACACTCTGGGCCTTTCTGGACATCTTCCCTTTGGCCTGTCAGACCTTCCAGAAACATGACTTTTGTTACAGGTACATTGGGACTTCTGCGTGCTAAAGTAGGGGCTCCGGTCCATGCATCACTCAAACACATATTGACTGTTCCTTAGAGTATACTAACTAGTCCAGGGCCTGGCAGTTAAGAGTACTGGTTGTTATAATGGGGAACCTGGGTTCAGTTCCCAGCACCCATATGACAACTCACAACTGTCTGTAACTCCAGCTCCTGGGGATCTGACACCCTCACACAAGCATACATGCAGGCAAAACACCAATGCACATAAATTTAATAAATCATTAAAAGATAAAGTCCATCTTCTAGTCTGGGGACACATAATGAGAAACACAGGTAAAACTATTGCTGAGAGGAGCCCTCCTAATCTTGTCTAAGAATAAGACAAGGGAGAGAGAAAACAGCAAGAAGATGACAGTTTTCAGTCTGCCCTATCATGGAGCACAGATTGACAGCCAGTGAGGACTGACGTGATGAGGAAGCAGCAGAGGTGTTCCTTCTTTGCTGCAGGGATATGTAGGAGAAGACTCCTCAAAACAGCCTTGAATACTGAGCAAGAAGCCTGGCACACTTTCCATCTCAGCTCCTCAGGAGGCTAAGGCAGGAGGATCGCTCAAGCCCCAGGATTTGAGGCTAGCCTAGTCAACATAGATCTGGTCTCAGAATCTAAGAAAAGGGATAAGAATGTTCTAGACGGAAAGGTCATGGTGACAGGAAGGGTGTTGACGCAGATGTGAAATATACAAAAAATCCGGACTAACTGCCAGGTGCCTGCTTTTAGTCCCAGAATTTGGGAGGCAGAGGCCAGCAGATCTCTGTGGGATCAGTGTCAGCCTGGTCTACATAGAGAGTTCTAAGACCTCCAAGGCTACATAAAGAGACCCTGTCTCAGCATGGCGGTGGTGGCGCATGCCTTTAATCCCAGCACTCGGGAGGCAGAAGCAGGTGGATCTCTGTGAATTCAAGGCCAGCCTGGTCTACAGAGAGTTTCAGGAGTGACTCCAAAGTTACAAAGAAACCCTGTCTCGAACCCCCCTCCAAAAAAGAAACCCTGTCTCAAGATGAATAGATAGATAGGTAGATAGATAGATAGATAGATAGAAAAAATAAAATTTAAAAAATGACAGGAAAAGGAGTTGGTAATAAAAAATGAGGGGTCCCCTGTTTGCCAGAGTGTGAAGTGTGGTGAAACCCTGGCAGGAGTGGGCCTTCATTCTGTAGGTAGTGGAAACCACTGGAGAGCCCATACAAAGACTGCGCTGAGATGGAGAGAGCTCAGAGGAACTTCCAGGAGGGAGACTCTGCCCACTTAGCATCATGAGATCTTTCTGTGCAGTGAGAAGGTGGGGAACATGGACTTGGGCATTCCCAGGCTGGTGTGAAAGGACCAGCAGCCTACTCATTGCCTTTCCCAGTGGCCTGTAGCTGTTGCTCTTGCCAGGCATCTCTCTCAACCATTTGCAGCAGCTTCTGGGAGCTGCCCAACTCCATTTGCCCACCCATCTATCTGTCCGTTCTGTCATTTACTCACCCGTTCAACAAAACATTTATCTAGCTCTGACACGTGCCAGAGATGGCAGCTGGTCCTCTGACTCCTCCTTGGTCTTCTCTGCTTGTGAGAGGCAGACATTTGATCAGCTTCCCTGGGATTATTAGAATGAAATGCTGACCAGTATTCTCTAGGGAAGAAACATCTTGGGTTAGGACTGTGGCTGTCCATTTTAGGGAGGAAGGTGTTTCATTATGATAAAAGAGCATGTGGAAATGTAGAAAAGATGGAAAGCCAGAATCTGAAACCACTCTTAGGAGTTACGTTGCTCTCAGCATTTTCGTTCTGCCTGTTTTCATTTACTTTAAGCATTTTTCTCATTTTGTCCAAGCATCTCCCCCAGTAAGCACAGATGGCCTCTGAGGGAGGAAGCTTTGGAAGAGCAGATTTTTCCTACAAGAGGCGGTGGAAGCAGAAGAGTTCCCACCCATCTTGGAGTACGTGGAAGGGTTGCACTTTGGAAGTGACTCTGCCTTTGACTCATGTTTAGCCTGCAGCTGGCCAGCTTGTTCCAGCCTGTACTGCAAGCTAGGAAATCCTTTGCTAGCTACACCAACATATACACAGCTCTCCCTCCCCCCGTTCGCTCCTGGTTAGGGGTCACTCTGACCCACAGAGCTCTTTCCTTTGGCCCTCTTGTCATCTAGTGTGCAGCTTCTGCCCTTGGGTCATGTGTCGGTAGTGCTTTCACTTTGACAGAACTCACAAAGTGCAAAATAGGGCTGGAGATGGCTCAGCAGGTAAGAGCGGGGGCCTTTCTTCTGAAGGAAGGAGTTCATTTCCCAGCATCCAGTCTGAGCCAACAACTGCCTGTAGCACCAGCTCCAGGTCTTCTGGACTCTGTGGGCACCCTCACATATGTCACACACACACAAAACTTTAGAAAAATGTAAACTCTATGGCGAACTGTCTCCCTCCCCCTTTATAGTTCTTTCCGTCACACGTCAACACTGTCATAGTTTGGGTGGAATTTTCCAGAGATATGCAGTATAGGAAAATATGCACATTTTACATTCCCCTCCCTTTGCTTTAGCCGTGATGAAAATGGAACCTAGGGCTTAATAAATGTTTAGTAGGGACTCTACCACTCTACTATGCTCTCAACCCCACCCCCTTTTTAAAAATTGAAAACTGGGGCTGGGGAAAATGCTCAGTGCCTCCAGTGTGACTGGGCAGCACTGTGCATCTGGCATACTGGACACCAGAGACAGTGTGTGTGTGTGTGTGTGTGTGTGTGTGTGTGTGACTTTTTTTTTAGTTATTTGCTATTTCAAAATAAATGACATTGTATCCACATCACTTTGTACCTTTGCAAGCATATTTGAGGATTGATTCCTAGAAGTAGAAATGCTGGGACAGATGGTATGTGCATCTTTAATTCTCACTTTTCTTGCCAAATCACCTTCCATGGGAGTTGTTCCAGTTTACCCACTAACAACACAGCCTGGCAAGTGTTGAATCAGCTTGGGCCTAACTGCCCTCTCTTGCCTCTGCTGATGCCGTGTCTAGCAGGGCCTGTTCCTTTGGCTTGGCTGTTCTCTGCCACATGCAGTGCTGCAGTGAGACAGACATTGCAGAAGCCAGCCAGAGGATGGGCACATGCTTCAGAGCACTACACTGGGCACGTAAGTGCGTCTCTGATTCGGGGAAGCAAGATGTTTGGAGGAAGAATTACACCCTAGAAAAACAACAGCTGCTCTGTCAATTATCAGGGCAGCATGTTCTGTGCGCAGTGAATCTGGACCCCGGAAGAAAGACTCCGTGGTTGAGTATAGCCAAGTAGTACACAATGAAGCAGGAATGCTTCAGAGTTTGAGAAGGACAGGGCGAGGAAGAGATGCAGGAGGAAAAGGATAGCTGCCTCCCGGGCTTGCTCACCCATACTAATCTCAAACGTCTAGGCTCAAGCCATCTTCCTGCTTCAGCCTCCCAAGTAGCCGGAAGTATAATCATATGTAACTGTACTGAAACTCATAATGTATGTAATGTATAATATTTTGAGAAAAATTCAGATCTTATTTATGTGTATGAATGTTTTGCCTGCATGCATGTGTGTGCAGCATGTTCATGCCTGATGTCCGTGGAGTTCAGAAGAAGGCATACAGATCCCCTGGAACTGGAGTTACAAATGGTTGTGTCACCAAGTGGGTGCTAGGAACCAAACCCAGGTCCTCTGGAAGAGCAACAAGTGTTCTTAACCACATAGCCATCTCTCCGATCCTGTGTGTTTATAATTTTTTTTATTGTTTTGCTATTGAAACAGGGTCTTGCTGTATAGTCCAGGCTGGCTTCCAACTTGTGATCCTCCTGCCTCAGCTTCCCAAATGCTAAAATTACAAGCTTTTAACTTTTTATTAAGAGCTGTAGAAAACGGGCTGGTAAGTCCCAGCACTCATATCAGGCAGCTCACGACCATTGTAATTCCAGCTGCAAGGAATGGCACCTTCCTCTGACCTCTGTGGGTATCTGTACTCATGTCCACTACCAACTGACAGACAGACACACACACATAATTAAAATAAATCATTTTTAAAACAAGAATTATAGTTAAACCAACTGGCTTAGTTCATAAAACAAATATGGAGTATATGATACATTTGAGTCCTGAGCACATTTAGTCTGTTCTGAATAAGCACATTGTGTTAACATTGTCACATGTAAACAATTTATAGAGATTCCAAGTCATGCAAGAAACTAAAACTTCATATCTTAGAACCCAAGTGAGAAAGATTGTTGGTAACTGTGATTTCAAGACTCCTAGGGCTGGCATATTTTGAGCAAGAAGAAAGATAATCTCTCTGTTTCATAATCCCAGGGAGTCCTTGTAGCCCTCTGGTCCCTTTGTTAGATACAGCTATGGTTATTTTCCATAATGGGGCAATACAGTACATCATTCTGGGGTAGGCTCAGGAAAGCCCCTGGGTAGCTCCCAGAAAGTTGGTATAGGATGGGATGGGAGCAGGGAGTTGACTCAGTACAGCAAAGTAAGGCCCTGAGTTTGATCTCTTCAGAACCCATGTAAAAATGTGAGGTGCTGGGGAGGTAGGGACAGGAAGATCCTGGCCTTCTGACAAGTCAGCCTAACCTAATTGGTGAGCATCAGAACTGCTTTCCTGAGACTAACACTGAAGTTAGCCTGTGGCTTCCACACACACAAGAACACCCACATGGAATTATGGGAGAAAGAAATGAACCTTTCTGCTCTGGTATTTATGAATTAATCTGGCCTTTGCCTGTGTTTGCTTCTGCAGACTAGCTTCCTTTTATGAGACGGCAATCCCTGAAATGGAGTCTGCAATTAAGAAGAGGAGGCTTGAAGACAGCAAGTGAGGCAGGGACAAAACTACAAACGTTGTGTGGGAAGGGGAGCCTAAACACAGGCTGTGGCACCCTCACTGCGAGGGCAGAGTGGGAAACCAAGGACCATGGTTGCGTGGTCTCCTAGTCCTGGACTTGGTGGTCTTCTAGCCCAGCTTTGTTATTTTTGTTATTTTTTTTTTAACTCTAAGGTTTTTATTTTATTTTTTATCTTGTGTACTGAGGATTGAACCCTTGGCACATGTTCTTCCACTAAGCTACACTCTAAAACCTTAAAGATTGGTTTTGTTTTTGTTTTGTTGATGGGAGGGGCAGGATTCAAGACAGGGTTTCTTTTTGTAGCCCTAGATATCCTGGAATTTACTTTGTAGACGAGGCTGTCCTCAAACTCACAGAGATTGCCTGCCTCTGCCTTTCACGTGCTGGGATTAAAGATGGGCACATCACTACCACCTGGCAAAGATCTAAAATACATACATACACATATATATATATATATATATATATATATATACACATATACATATATATATATATGCTTTGTGAGGACTTAAAGAGAAATACTTTGGCAAGTAGAGATTTATCATTTACTTGCTTAATTTTTCTTAATTTTTATTTAGCTCTTTGAGAATTTCCTACAATATATTTTGACCATATTCACTCCTCCACCAACTTATCCGTGATTCACCCCCCACCTACCCAACTTTATTTTCTCTCTCCTTTTTTTCTTTTCTTTATTTTTTTGTTTCACATATCAGGTCAAATCTGTGCTCTTGGATATGTGACCTTCCACTGTGGTGTGCTCAACCTACCTGGGGTCACTCACACCTTTAAAGAAAACTGACTCTCCTGATAGCTGTCAGTTGCCAATAGCGCCTCAGCTAGGGGTGGGACTTTGCTCCACCTCCCCCTGCATACTGGGATTTGCTCTGGTTTGAGTTGGCATGTGACTTGCTCATTTTGTCATAATTGCCGTGAGTTTATATGTGCAACTGCCCTGCTATGTCCAGAAAACACTGTTTTCTTGTAGTCACCCACAGCCTCTGGCTCTTACGATCTTTCCAAACCTTCTGCAGTGATTCTTGATCTTGGGATAAGAGGGTTTAATATAGATGTACCATTTGGGGCTTGGCATTCTGTAAGCTAGCACAAGCAGAGATGTAAATATTAATTGTACACTGTCTTGCTACAGGCCACCTTATGAGGATTGTCTGAGAGTCCTTCTTGGCCACTAAATCCGTTAATTCTGTGTCCTCCAGATCTTAGCAGATTATGTCTGGTCCCTGCATGTAAGCTCAGCTGTTGATTCAAGTTCTTGGTAATTGACCTTGCTGCTCCTACCCTCTCTTTAACTGAGAAGTGTTCTGGAGCCAGCTGGCTACCCAGTATTTATAGCCTTTTCTCAGCTGCTCCTATCAGTGGCCTTTAGGATTACCTCAGTTGTGGGGAAGTTCCCATGGTTTCTTTCATCTTTTAAGTCTACTTCACTTCTCTCTGAAGGCTGCTAGGTGACATGTGGCAGAGGCTCTCCCACTCCAAGAAAAAGCTGATGGAGGTGTTTCACATCATCCTGAACCAGATCTGCCTCCTTCCCATTCTAGAGAGCAGGTGAGCTCCACGGAAACTCTACACATGGCAGGTGTTTCTCATCACTCCTCCCCTCTTTCTTCCTCTCTGCCAAACATAATGGGAAACCCAGAAAAATGTGTTTCTCCAACTGGCCAGAGACAGGAGAGGGGTAGGGTGAGCATCCAAGGGGCCTCAGATCATCGTGCATTGCATGAGCTCATCTTCCCTCGTGTCCTGTCCTAGCAATGACAACATTCAAGGCTTCATTGAAGAATTCCTCCAGATCTTCAGCTCCGTGCTGCAGGAAAAGCGGTGAGTGGGGCTGAGCGGATACCAACTCTGGGACAGGCCCATGTCTCTCTCTCCAGTCCCATGAAGCTTGCACAGCTTACATACTTACATGGAGCAGAGGTTCTGGAGCCTGTGGTTGGTAGCAGACATGAGGTGACCTTCTGGAGTACATGTTCCTATGGCTCCAGCCCTGACCCGCCTTCCTGTGCTCTGCCCCGCAGATTCCTCCGGGACTATGACTCATTCTTCCCTGTAGCTGAAGACATCAGCCTACTACAGCAGGCTTCCTCAGCCTTGTATCCTACTACAGCTCACTGGGCCAAGGCCTGACTAGGTCAGACATGGCATTCTGGGACCCAGAGGGGCAAAAGGCAACCCCTGGAATACTCAAATCACGAAGTCTAACGAAGGCCCTAGTTCCTCTTTTTCTAGAAGTTACAACCGCTCTGATGCTTGGGGCAAGAGAGAGCCTGTTCTCTCTATATGTGTTCTGAGGCTCTGGTCTGTGTGTAAATTGTACTCCAGAAACCTTGAAGCCCATTGTAGGAGATGAGGACAGGTAAAGTCCGCTAGGAAGTGTTACCCGAGGAGGAGGCGGACTATACCTCACATAGCAGAGCTCAGGGTGGGCACCAGAGGAAAATGCCCAAGCCAGAAATAGAACAAATAGAAGATGCCCTGGTCCAGGCTTAGGTTAAGGACAGTCATGTTTCCAGGGGTTTGGAGGACAAAAAGAACTGGGTCTTTGAGGAGCCCTCAGATGTCGTGTGTGGCTGTCTGTAAGTGGGCAGGAGTGTCTGGGCAAGTGAGCTGGGATTGACCAACATTCAGGACCCTTGTGTGATACCCATGAAGAAGTTTGGGCTATGTGCGTCAGATGCTGGGGAGTGGGGAGTTGGGAAGCAGAATGACATGGGCTGTTACTACCCTGGAAAGGCTCTACTTGGCTCTGGGAGAGAATGCTGGCCTGGGACCACCAGAGACTGGGATCGCTGTTACAGGCCTCCCTGCATGGGTCATGAGGATTTGGTAGAGTGAGGGTGTGGGGGCAACTCCGATTTCTAGCCCAGTGCCCAGAGTGGCAGAGAGAAAGAAGGACTAGGAAAGAGCTGCCCTTTGGGCCATTTTGTTGCTGAGTTCAGTCCTGACTCAGGGACCTCCAGTTGGCCTTTGCCCTTTTCAGAATACCCTCAGCTTGGTGGACAGAAAGTCCAGTGAAAGTACTGTTGGCCCTCCTGAATATCCGAGCAAAAGTAGCTGTGGGATGATCTAAAAGTCTGGACACTGGTGGTAATCCCCAGCCCTGTCTGCCCTGAGCTGCTCTGCCGAGCAGCGGTGCGAGAGTTCGAGGCCTGTGTGGCAGTATTCTTTCTAGCACGCTGTTCCACTCGGCACCCACCAGGCAGGCCAGCAGGCCCTGGCAAAGCCTCATGGTCAGATGCTGGACAGGGACTGCAAAGTCATACTACCCAGAGCTGGGGAGGTGGTTTCTGAGCGAGAGAGCCCTTAACACTGCCTCATAGGGATGAGACCCGGACTGCCTACATCCTACAGGCTGTGGAAAGTGCATGGGAAGGGGTGGACAGACAGAAAATCAAGGACACTAAAGAGCCATCACAGGCCAAGGATCCTAATAATGGAATCACGACAGCAGTGAAGCCAGTCAGTGAAAGGCCATCACAGCTGGAGAACTCAGAGGAGGATGAGGAGGTGTGTATCTGGGGGTTCCTGCCCCTGATCCCTGGTTCCCTAGCCTTCCTGGCCACCTCTTGAGAGATAGGCAAGTGGCTAAGTGCCCTTGTTTCTGTTTCAGGGAAAAGAGTCCCCATTGGAATTGGTAGCTTCCAGCACTGGGGCTGCTGTAGTACCCTGGGGATAGAAGAGAACACAGCCCTTAAACTCTTAAACTTGGTGCCTCTCCTCTCCTCTCCTCTCCTCTCCTCTTCTCTCTCTCTCTCTCTCTCATTTTGAAACAAGGTAATAAAATGCTCAATGGTCCAGGCTAGCCTTGAACTCACAGCAGTCCTCCTGTCTTTACCTCCAACTGCTGGGATTACCGGCGTGAACTACCATGCCCAGCCCTGTTTCCCTCTATAAAATGAGGTGAAGCTTTTACTTGTGGACTCCTTCTCCAGCCCCTCCCCACGCTGGGTAAGGTGGAGTTCCTTTGCTGGCAGCTGAGTGTGGTTCCAGACCCACCTCCCAGGGATCACAGGGCTCCACTGAACAAGCTGGGACTCAAGTCCTGGACCCAGTGCCTCCTCTCGGGTCAGGCTGCTCAGTGGTAACCTGACCTACTGTTTGCCAACGGTGTATGGCAGATCTCTTGTGTTCAGTGTAGTTGCTCCTCTGTGTATAGAGATAGGTGTGATGCCTGCTTCCATGATATTGTTGGGGTTCCTAGGGCTGCTATATGGAACTCTCTTGATTCTGGTTGATCCTCAGTGCCCAATTAGCAAATGCTACTGTTCTTCCTGTTAAACCCCATGATTCTTTCTTCCCTGTTTGGCGGCTTCTCTGAGCCATGGAGGTCTTTATCATCAACATGATGCTCTAGTGCTGGTGCTACGCAAGCATTCCTCCACTAAGCTGTATCTCTAGCCCTTTATTGTTTTTATTTGATCGTCTCCTTAGAAAGCATTATAAAATGAAGCCATGGGGGCTGCAGAGATGGCTCAGCAGTTAAGAGCACTGAGCTATTCTTCCAGAGGACCAGAGTTCAATTCCCAACACCCACATGGTGGCTCACAACCACCTGTAATAGGATCTGATGCCCTCTTCTGGCACGCAGAGCACTCATACAGAAATATAAATAAATAAAATAAAATTTTTTTGAAAAGTGAGGTCACAGTATGTGAAATGACATCTCCTTACTGAAAGCAATGTGACGTAAGGGAACATCTCCACATAGTCTCACTGGTAGTTGCTGTTGTCCTTCAAAGGCAGTCACTTTGGTAGAGTTGGGCAGGATCTAGATCACTAACTGTCTGTGGAGACCTTCTGCACACCAGTACTCTGCTCTATGGGTAATGTGCATCCCTTCATTGAACCATCTGAAATAGCCCCATGAGACCAATGATAGTGTCCATTTCATAAGGAGGGAACCGTTCAGAGAGAGGATGTACAGTGCCCCCAAATCACACAGGCCAAGGGTAACTCACCTAGGAAGTCATAGAGCCCCTCTTTTCACAAAGGAAGAAAATAGAGGCTCAAATTTAAGTCACTTGGCAAAAGCCCTACAACTAGGAGGGGCAAGGCCAGGGCCCCTGCTGATGAATGCAATGTTGTTTGGAGACTCTTACCCTTTCGTGGGGGCTGCTTAGTCTTTGCTCCATCACTCTGGCTTCCATTGCAGTGCAAGGGTGCAGCAGCTGCCCTGGGCCCGACCGTGTGTGGTGTGCAGCTAGACTCCCTCATCTCCCAAGTGAAAGACCTGCTGCCAGACCTCGGGGAGGGCTTCATCCTGGCCTGCCTGGAGCACTACAGCTATGATTCAGAGCAGGTGATCAACAACATCCTGGAGGACCGGCTGGCCCCGGAACTCAGCCAGCTGGACCGCAGCCTGAAAAGGTAAGTGAGGTAGATGGAGAGAGGTCCTCAAGGCAGGGTCTCCTTTCCTTGCCTCTCGCTCCTCCCCTAGACTGGAGGATACATTTGCTCCTTTTTCACAGCAGTGTTTCCTGCAGTTTGAACTAGTGCCCTTTCTAAAGAAAGCAAGCTTGGGGCCTGTAAGGTTCCCAGCACAGCTGGCTGTCCCTGAGACTTTATAGGAAGACTACTGGAGACTAGCAGTGTGGCAAAGGGTGCTCTCTCTCTCTCTCTCTCTCTCTCTCTCTCTCTCTCTCTCTCTCTCACACACACACACACACACACACTCCAGCTCCAGATCTGCCTCATTGTTAGCATATTCCCAGTTTCCAAGTTATGATAGCCAAAGCTACTCCCTTTCTCTGCACTGAAGCTCATGGTTTTGGTGCACTGCTATCCCGAAAGCTTCAGGGGACAGCAAGAACAAGGGTGCGTGTGGATGCTTCTTCCATGAACAAATCATGTTTGCCAAATGAATGAATGAAGTTAGCCTTGTGCCTTTGGCCACATCCCTCAGCCTGTTTGTGTTCCGTGTTATAGATGGCAGTGCTGAGACACAGGAGGTGGACTAGGAGCTGAGAGTAGAGCTCAGCGGTAGAGCATGGGCTTAGCTGTGTACAGTGCATTCCTAGCATCCAAAGCAAATGCAGCTGCCCTCCATCCCCCGCCCCCAGCCCAAAACAGAAGTTGAGTGACATATAACTCCCTGGCTTATAGGGCCATTGTGGACATTTAAATGAGGGATAGAGCTTTGAAGAAATAGAAAACTGGTATGCATGGCACACAGGAAATGAGGGTGAGGTGTGGCTTTGGGCCCTTGACAGGAGCCAGGTTAAGTAAAACCTAATTAAAGGCTCCCCATTAAAGAACTTATGTCCTAGGCTAGAATTTTGGGGTGGAGTGAACAGTATGATGGGAAGAACACAGCGTGGCTTAGGACAGTCGACATCAGCCAGCAAGGCCCTTTCAGTTGATTTCTGTGCTGTGGCCCCCAGACAGGTGAAGCCGGATCCCACACCCCTGCTGACATCTCGTCACAACGTCTTCCAGAACGACGAGTTTGATGTGTTCAGCAGGGACTCAGTGGACCTGAGCCGGGTGCACAAGGGCAGGAGGTGAGTATGGCAGGACATGGGGTCTGTGTTCCAGTTCTGGAGGGTGGCAAGAAAGAAAAGCCCTTTGTTTTTTGGGTTGTTTTTTGTTGTTGTTTTTTTTTTGTTTGTTTGTTTGTTTTCGAGACATGATTTCTCCATGAAACAGTCCTAGCTGTTCTGGAACTCACTCTGTAGATCAGGCTGGCCTTGAACTCACAGATCCACCTGCCTCTGCCTCCTGAGTGCTGGGATTAAAGGCATGTGCCACCACCAGCAAAGGCCCTTCTTGATAGAACCAGCCATGGATTTTCCCCTCAGAGAGTTCCACCCCTCCACTTTTTAATTTATTTTTATTTTATGTGTATGAATACTTTGTCTCTATGTATGTGTGTGCACCGTATGCATACCTGATGGCCATGGAACGTATCCATAGAGGCACCCTGTGGAACTGGAATTACAGACAATTGTGAGCTGCCATGTGGGTGCTGGGAACCAAACCTGGGTCCTCTTAAGAGCAACCAGTGTTCTTTTTTCTTTTTTTTTTTTTTTTTTGATTTTTCGAGACAGGGTTTCTCCGTAGCTTTTGGTTCCTGTCCTGGAACTAGCTCTTGTAGACCAGGCTGGCCTCGAACTCACAGAGATCCACCTGCCTCTGCCTCCCGAGTGCTGGGATTAAAGGTGTGCGCCACCACTGCCCGGCGCAACCAGTGTTCTTAACTGCTGAGCCATCTCTCCATCCCCTCAGGGGTCCCTCTGAATCCTGGCCTTATACACTGTCATCCTACAAGAGCAGGTTCCTTAACAGTGTGCTGTAAGTCCAGCTTTATGTGGGGGGTGACTGCTAGTGATAGATACCTCCTTGTAAGTGGTAGAAGGCCAGAGCGCCACATCTGTCCCCTTGTTTTTTGATGTGTATGTTGACTCTGTGGGTGCAGAGCTAGACGGTGCTTCCTAGAAGCCAGTTTTTGACCTGATTTTTCTCTAGGCTGTGATAAAACAAAATTAAGTCACGTAAGTTTTTTCCAAAGATGAAAGAATTCTGGTTTAATTTCATTCATTCTTTCTTTCATTTTTAGTTTATCTTCTTCCTACTTTTTCAGCGTTGTAATCCATCCATGGCCTATTCATTCATTCAATAAATGCTTGCCTGGTGCTTATTGCCTTGGGTTAATTTAGTACCAGAGCTGTAGTGGGAAGTAAAGCAGACACTGCCTACACCGTGTGAAATGTGCACTCCTCAGCTCATCAGACAAGCACGATAGTGGGCAGCCTCCTGGTCCCTAAGAAAGTCACAGAGAACTGAAGGATGTTTAGGGGTGGCTCAGCAGAGCAGGGAGGAAACTTCCCAAGCTGAGTGAGCAAAAGCAACAGTGGCTCCAAGACCAGTGTGAGTGTAGTAAAGGTCCCATGAACTCATGAGCATTTATGTTTTATAGAGGTCACCCAAGCTGGGCATGGTAACTCAAGCCTCTAATTCCCGCACTCAGGAACCTGAGAGGATTTTTATTTTTTTTTTTCAATAGTGAGTTCCTATCTAATCTAAGTGAGACCCTGTGTCACAAATAAATAAAAATTAAATATTGGGCTCTGGAATGGCTTCCTCTGGGAAGAAACTGAAGTCAGTGGTGGTGGCATAACAATGACAGCCAGGTAAAGAATGGGGGGGGGTTAATCTGCTTCAAAGTCACATTGAGTCATAGAACCTGGAAATCCAGGGGCTCTGTTCAAGTGCAGCCTGTGCTGTCCCTATCATAATAGTGGGAACAAGAGATTCTAGAAAGGAAGGAGACTGTTAGTCTTGGAGCTGTGTTCTGGTAAGAGTCCTGTGCAGTAACACAGTTGCTTTTTCAGTTCGAGTCCAGGGCTGCACTTCACCTGGGGCTGTGTGCTGCCAGAGGCTTGCTGACTGAGGGCTCAGCAGGCACAGGGCAACTCTGAAGCCATCTGGCTGATTGCACCAGAAATCCTGGCGCACTGCTTCATCAGTCCAATTGTGAGACCCCTGATCCCAGGCAGAGCTGTTGTTCCTGTTGGTGGCTGCTGGAGGGAAGAGCCACACAGGGTCCCCCAGGCCAGCAGAAGGTGTGGGAGCCTGACTGGTAGGACCCTCTACAGAGCTTAGCATCTCTGGACACAGGGTTCCCCTTGGCGTTCATCTGTAGGTTCAGCTAGGTCACTCCACATCCCCACCCAATTGGAGGTCACCTATGAGCATTTGCCAGTGGGCTGCTTTCAACTGTCAGGGTCATCAGAAGGGCTGAAGCAGCCAGGTGTCCTAATTCTGTGGCACTCTGCCTGCCAGCAGAGACAGAATGACCAGTGTTTACCAATCCCACTCTGGGCAGCCCAGGGGCAAGGATTGTAAAGAGGTAAAGCCTTCATTCATGGTTCAGTATTTATCCACTCAGTAAATATTTATTAAGTGCTTTACTAGCGTGAGATCCTATGCGAGGCACCAGGAAAACAAGGTGAGCAGAGTGCCTTGGCTTTGCCCACAAAGGGCAGAGACCGTGGGAAAGACAGATCATCAAATAATCAGGTGCACCAGGAGTTCAGCAGGGGCACCTGCCTAGTCAGGGCAAGGTGGAAGGGCGAGGGCCCTGCCTTCGGGTAGCAGGTGGAGAATTAAGTAGCACAAAGCAAATCACACCTGTGTACATATGCATTGAATCTGATGAACATGCTTGGCAGCTTTGGTAACAAGTAGAGTCTGGTCTGTTCTCTTACACACAGAGTTACAGAGGGCAGAGGTGGGGCTTGGTTACCCTGTGGTTGGTTTTTATTTGGAATCAAGCACAAGATATCTTCTGGGACCCTGGCTTAGGGGGTCCCTAGAGGTCTGTGAAGGACTTCAGCTATTTGATTTTTGGCTACTAGAAACCATAATGCCCAAGGGAGTCCAGACAAGATATTCTTGCCTCTCTTTTATCTTTTGTTTAATTTTGTTTGTTTTGTTGTTTTTTTTGGTGATGCTAGGGTCCAAACCCAGGGCCTTGCACACTACCATTGTGCCACTACCCAGCCCCATCTCTTTTTTAGAGAAGAACAAAGCAGGCCCAGAAGCTTCCATATTTTTCTCATGTGTCATGAACAGAACTGGGCCAGACTTCGGGGCTCTAATGTAGAGCACAGAAGTGGAGCAATCTGAACTTGAGTCTGAGCTGGGCCTGGCTCACACAGTCCCAGCACATGGGAGGTTTTAGAGCTTGTGGCCAACCTGGGCTATATCAGGAGATCCTGTTTCAAAATAAGCAATGAAGAGAGGGAGGGAGGGGGGAGGGAGGGAGGGAGGGAGGAAGGGAGGCAGGCAGGCGGGCTACTAGAGTAGACTAGAGGGTAGCTTTGGTTGATCAAGCACCTATGTACGCAACATGTGCCCTTCTAACTCCTTTGGACTGCCCTGTAGAACTCTGGAAGATAACAAGAGTTCCCCTCAACAAAGGTTCTGTGGCCAGATATGTCTGTGTGTTTTGTCTGCTTCTTGGAGAATCACAGAGTACATTAGCATGTAAGACTGACAGACAGAAGAAACTGAATTCATTTTGTTGAGTTCAGCAAACGGTGGTCCATGTCTGTATCTTTTATATCTTCTTTTCCTTTAGTTTTGTTGCTGTTGTTTGTTTTATTTTGTTGTTGTCTTCTGTTTGAGATGGAGTCTAGCCTCAGACTCACTAAGCAGCCAAAGATGACCTGAGCTCATTGTCATCCTGCTCCCGTGTCCTAAGCATTCGGGGTCGAGCCGTGCACCCTATGCTCAGCTTTACCCATCCTCTCATTTCATTCTCGGCTCACCCCTGAGAAGTGAATACCGTAAGCAGGAACCAAGTAGGTTTTTGTTGGCTTTGATTTTGAGATAGGGGCTCACTGTGTTACCCTGGCTGGCCTGGAACTAACTCACTGTGTAAACCAGGCTGGCCTGAAACTCACAGAAATCCTCTTGTCCCTGCCACCTTAAAGCTGGGTTTATCTCCCCCCCCCCCTCCTATTTTTTAAGTTGCAGATGGTTGTGAGTACACATGTGAGTGACAGAAATTGAGCCTAGGTTCTTGACAAGTGCAGCCAGTACTCTTAACCCCTAAACCATCTCTCCAGTCCTGCTAGTGCTAGCTTTAGAGGCAGGCACCCCACACCACACTGGACTGATTTAATGAGGCTAGAGACTTGTGACCACACAGCTTAGAAAGTGTAGAGCAAACCCAAGTCAGGACCTGAACCTTCCTTTAGAAGCTATATGGCTCTGGGCAGGTTTCTCTGCCTTTCTGTGCCCTACCTGGAATGTTTGTTGTCTCTACAGGCCACTAAGGACCTGTTTGAATCAGGTTTTTATAGAACAGGGTTGAGTAGATGATAAGAGAAAAGGTGACCAGCTTCAGGAGAGCAGGCATGTTCCCGGCCTTGCTGCCACTTTCTAGAAGGCCAGGATTCCAAAGACAGTCTGTGAAGTTCTTGTTGCCTGTATCTAGAGGAGGGTGAAGTCCTGGCTTATGAATGGGTCTTTCCCAGGTGCTTGGTGGGATCTTCTTTCTTCTTGGCTCCAAATCCAGACAAGAAAGCAAAGCACAATGCCCTAGACAGGCAGCCAGGCCCCTGGCTCTGCTGCCTGTCGTCTCTCAAGGCCCAGGTGGGATCCATAAAAGTTGTCTTCTCCATCTGGCCCTGCAAAAAGCCACATAACTAGACACCATCCACCTTCACCCAGAACCAGGAGCCTCAGGGAGCTGCCAGACGAGGATGACACCTCTTCTTCTTCTTGGGCCCCTGGCCCAACATAGATAGTACCTGGCATCTCAAAAAGCGTGGCTGAGTGCCAGAATGTGTTCTTACTAGTGGTACCAGCCATGGGAAAGGCTTAAAGCCCTTTCTCCTTAATACTTCTTTACCAACCTGGCAAAGAAAGAGTCTCTGCAGCACCAAGGCCATCATCACAGCTCCACAGCCCCAATCCCGGTGGCTGGGAAGGATTCCTGGATTGGTCTTTTGGGTTTTTGTTGTTGTTGTTTTTCAGTTGTTTTATTTAAAACAAGGGCTAGTGTAGCCTTAGCCGGCCTCCAGCTAACTTTGTAGCTGAGACTGACCTTGAACTCCTGATCCTCCTGCTCCTTCCTTGCTAGTGCTGGAATCACACACTTTTGCCTTCAGCTTTGTGGTTTTTGTTTGTTTGTTTTGTTTTGTTTGAGATAGGGGTCTCTGTAGTCCAACCTGGCCTTTAATTCTTGGCAGTTCTCCTACCGCAGCCTCTCCAATACTAGGACTATAGGCATGAGTCACCACAGCCAGCTAAGATTTCTGTTTACCTAAGAGTTCACTCAGATCTAAACCAAATACAGCATCCTTTCTGTCCCACTGTCATGGCTTTCCTCACCCCTTCCTCCAGACATGTGCTGGTGCCGCCCTCACTTGCGTCTGTCAGCGGCAGCCCACTGAATTTGGCATATTTTGTGCTGTTCACCCCACTCCACTGTGAGTACAGATGCATATCTGACCTGTTTTTCAGTCTCCTCCCTGCTCAGGCTTAGAATGGCTCTGACAGGTAGGAAGATTGTCACAGCACAGCAAAGCCTTGCCAGCCATACTGAGACTGCAGTCCCAGCCTGTACCTGGTCCTAGACAAGCCTACAGACCCAGACGCCTGCCACCCACCCAGAGCCAGCTGTTAGACGATCTGCATAGAATCTGCACGGCTCTGTGTCTCCCTTTTTTTTCTCAGACCCCTTCCTCTTGATACATTCCAGAGATGGAATCTCATCACTAAGCTAGATTTCTTGCCTGCCATCTCTAATTGATTTGCCCCTGCAGAGCCAGAGAAACACATTCCATGAGCCCATGTATGTGATTGACAAGCCAGGATTCTCTACAAGTTTGCAAAGCCATGGTCAAGAGACCTGAGGCCCTGCTGACACTGTGATGTGCAGTTCAGTGTGAGCCAGGTGTGTCCCTTCCCCCTCCACTGCACCCATCTGTCCTCGTTTTCGACATAACTGATGGCAGTCGGAACTACCAGACTTTCCTCCTCCCATGGTACTCTTGCATGGAAGCTGGCCCTGCATAACAGGGACAGGAGCTGCTGTAGTGGAGGGTGAGAGGAAGAAGCCAGACCCCCTCTTGCCTCACCCAAGAGTGTTTAGGGCTTTCCTGGGCTTAGGACGAAGACTGCATGTGGCCTCAGCAGGGTCTGAGGTCTACAGAAGGGAACGCAGCATCTCTCTGGACCTTTTGCCCTCCACACTCTTCCAGACCTGATGGTGTCCTCCCTCTCTCCCTGCTGTCCCTGGCTCCAGGAAGGAGGAGAATGTGAGGAGCCTGGTGAATGACAAGCGGGCTGTGGCGGCGCAGAGGCTTCGCTACCAGCAGTACAGTGTGGTAATGGAGGAGGTAGGCTGCCCAGCCTGGGCCTCTCAGGGTGTGGGAAATCCAGCAGTCCCCTAGCTTCTCTGACCCATGAGTCTGCTGTTGCAGGTCCCAGTGCAGCCAGGAGAATACCAGGTTGATGACTACGAGGACGAGTATGATGACACATACGATGGCAACCAGGTGGGCGCCAACGATGCAGACTCTGATGATGAGCTCATCAGCCGCAGGTGAGTCGCTAGGCCGGCCAGCCAGATTTCCCCAGCCCCACTCCCACCCTCTGCTCCATCACCTCTCCCCTCCCCACCCCTGGTCTTAGCAAGTCATGTTTTTTCTTAAGTGTGGAACATTTTCCTCAGCAGAATCTTGTAGGGATTTACCTGTGCAGATCAAAGCAGGGCTTCCTGGTGAACAGAAAGATTGGAGATCCCTAGGGCCTCAGCTCAGCGGTTACCCCCTTTAAAGAATCTGGCGACAAAAGCAAAGCCTGTTTGAAAACCCCCGTGGGAAGGTTCCCTTGCCTCCTGAGCAGTGCCCCTCCCCAGCCTTCTCCCCAGGCAGGAGGCCATTCTCCAATTCTTTGATCTCACTTTCTTTCCCAACCCTCAGGCCCTTCACCATCCCTCAGGTGCTGAGAACCAAAATGCCTGGAGAAGGACCAGAGGAAGACTATGACGAAGTGGAGGAGGTTGAAGAGGAGGCCCCCAAGGTCCGTCCTGGGCGGGTGGCAGATGAAAGAAATGCAGCCCTGAAGGGCAAATTAGGGCTCTGGGCCTGTCTCCGCCTCTGTTTGGAGAGCTGCGGGCTTTGATCTCTGCTCCGCTGCCCAGAGGGCTCTCAGGGGACAGGGGGGGGGGGGGTCTGTCAACAGCTGAGTCATCAGGTGTTATGGTCTGGAAGAAGGAAGGGTAGCTGTAGGCTGCTGTGCCTAGGCTGGCTTTTTTAAAAATCAGACACGACTTAGAGCCCTGAGGCTCTGGAAGTAAGCTAGACCTCTTGTCTGAAAACTCACTTTTAGCAGCTAAACTTTTTCTTCAGCTGAAATCTTTGTTTTTTGTTTTTTCAAGACAGGGTTTCTCTATGATTTTGGAGCCTGTCCTGGAACTAGCTCTTGTAGACCAGGCTGGTCTCGAACTCACAGAGATCCGCCTGCCTCTGCCTCCCAAGTGCTGGGATTAAAGGCGTGCGCCACCACTGCCCGGCTCTTCAGCTGAAATCTTAACTTGAAATTCAAGCTAGAAAACAGATGAAAAGTGATTTTGCTCCATGTGAAGGGAGTAACCAGGCACTCTACAGTCCCCAGCAGCCCCCAAAGGATGACAAAGTCAGATGTTCCTAGAGCTGTTCGGAGGCATTAAGTGCTGTGGTAGGAAGTGCATGGCCTGCCACAGGGCTCTCAGCCACAGGCTCCAAACCAAGTGAACCATCTTCCCCTGCCACTAGTTCTTCTCCTTTGGATATTATTATTATTGTTATTGTTATTATTATATTTTGGTTTTGGTTTTGGTTTTTTGAGACAGGGTTTCTCTGTAGCTTTTTTTGGTGCCTGTCCCGGAACTAGCTCTTGTAGACTAGGCTGGTCTCGAACTCCCAGAGATCCACTTGCCTCTGCCTCCCGAGTGCTGGGATTAAAGGCGTGCGCCACCACCGCCTGGCGGATATTATTATTATTATGCCATGTGTCAAAGCCTGCCTGTTTGCCAAGGTCCTAGCTTTCCCCTGCACAGGTCCACCATGCACTCGGAGCATAGAAAGTGGTCCACAAGAGGAGTTCTCACTGAGCCCTCTGCTGTGGCACCAGAGTGAGACCTGACTTCCAAGTCTCAGGGCAAGCCTGCTTCCAGGGACCTTAATCAACTTTCATGGTCTTTTGTGTCCTTTCCTGGTGGCCATCTCAGCCATACCCACACGCATTCATTGATGTGCCTGCTGTGGTCCTTTCTCCCCAGCAGCCTGCCCCACATCCTTTAGCTCCCTCCCTCCCTAAAGGAGGCTTCAGCTGGCAACCAGCTTGCTCTGTACTAAGATTGCCTGCCCTGCCTGCTGTGGATGCCTCAGGATTCCTCCCAGCAGGGATTCACACAGCCTAGGGAAATGATTGCAGATTTTCACTTCTCTTCCTTTCACAGCTGGACCATTTCATCCAGGATCCTGCAGTGCTGAGGGAAAAGGCTGAAGCCAGGCGCCTGGCCTTCCTTGCCAGGAAGGGGTGAGCATTAAAGGGGCTAATCCACGGGAGGGGGGACCATCAGGGGAATCCAGCTGGCCATGCAGGAAACCCTGGGTGCTTTTTAAGATAGGGTTTCTCGTCATAGTCCTGGCAGTCCTGAAGCTCACTCCGTAGACTAGGCTGCCTCTGTAGACCAGGCTAGCCTTGAACTTGATCTGCCTTCCTCTGCCTCCCAAGTTCTGGAAATAAAGGTATGTGCCAGCCGGGCGGTGGTGGCGCACGCCTTTAATCCCAGCACTCGGGAGGCAGAGGCAGGCGGATCTCTGTGAGTTCGAGACCAGCCTGGTCTACAAGAGCTAGTTCCAGGACAGGCTCCAAAACCACAGAGAAACCCTGTCTCGAAAAACCACAAAAAAAAAAAAAAAAAAAAAGGTATGTGCCACCACTGCCCGGCCCCTGGGACTTTTTGGGTAGTTATTTAGCTCCTGTCCAGCTCTAGGAAGTAACTATTAATATCAGTATCATTGTCCAGTTTGACCCAGAGACATTAAATAACTTAGTAAAGGTCATACAGCATTAAGTCTCCCCAAAATATCAGAGCCAATCAAAGTATGTGCCTAAAGTCATAGCTACTTGGGAGGCTGAAGCAGGAGAATCATTTGAAAGCAGGATTTCAAAACCAATGTGAGCAGCATAGCAAACCCTGTTACACATGAAAGCCACGCATCACAGTGTGAGCCCGTGAGCCCAGTGCTCAGGTGGCAAAGGCAAGAGGGTATGGTTGGTTTCTGTTGTTTTAACTCTTTACTCTTTGGGGGCCCGCCACCCAGCTCCCAAATAATCACATGGAGACTTATTCTTCCTTATGAATGCCAGTCTTAGTTCGGTTTGTTTCTAGTCAGCTTTTCTTTCTTTTTTTTTTTTTTGTTTTTGTTTTTTGTTTTTCGAGACAGGGTTTCTCTGTGGCTTTGGAGCTTAGCTCTTGTAGACCAGGCTGGTCTCGAACTCACAAAGATCCACCTGCCTCTGCCTCCCAAGTGCTGGGATTAAAGGCTTGCGCCACCCAACTAGGTTCCTTTTTCTTAGTTAAGAAACTGGTCAAAGTCTACTGTGCCAAGAGTAGAAGCATAGGTCATGGGTGGAAGTTCAGTCCCAACCTAGATTCTGGGTATAGGGGACCTGACCAAGAGACATTTGATTCCATACTGAAGGCAACAGAGTCAGAGGTTGTTGACGAGAGCACAACTGTTCTGATGTTTTCCCTCCCAGCCCTGAGGGAGCACTCTGAGTAGACCCGGAGGCTGTGGGCCAAGGGACCAAGTTAAGACCTGGTGTGTAAACATAGAGCATTGTCCCATTTGTAGGGGGCCACCATCCAGCCCACTAACAGTTAATACTCGTAGATGGGTGTTGGGCCCATCTTCAAGGTCTAAGAGAAAATCAGGCCCAAGGCTGGGGCTCCATTTCCTTTCCTATCTGGACCTGGGCCAGTGTGTAACCTCAGTGGTAGCCGCTAGGGTGGACTGTGGAGCCTTCCTATCAGAGCCTTGTCCAACTGTGTCTCTCATGGGGTGGGTATTACTCTTGCAGGTACCGGCCTGAGAATTCCGCAGCAGTGACAGGCAGCCCCCGGGGCCACGGACAAACCCGAGAAACCACCCAGGAGCGCAGGAAGAAAGAAGCCAAAAAGGCAACCAGAGCCAACCACAACCGTAGAACCATGGCTGACAGGAAGAGAAGCAAAGGCATGATCCCATCCTGAGGACACAAAGATGCCTGGGTGAGGGAGGCCCTCAAGGCCACCACCATACCTCACCTGCCAGCCAGCCATGAGCACCTTCTTGTCGAACACAAAGTGCCTTATCCCTTGGTGCAGGAACCCAGTGCCATCAAGTAGGCTCTCTCCCAACTGTGCTAGCGGGAAAAGATGGGGATGCAAAACCAAGGTGTCCTTTATCTTGTGCAGCAAGATACCACCTCACGGAAGTCCTGGATGCAGCAGACCTGTATATTCAGAGACAGCAAAAGGCCCGTGAATAAAGTTTCTGACCTTCTAACAATGTTCCGTGACATGCTCCAGCCTTTCCCTCTGTCATACCTCAGTGACACCACCACCTGAAAGACAAGAAGGCACAGTGGTACCCACTCACTGTCTGTTGACTTTTCGTGTGTGCCCTCAGCGCCCCTCCTAACGTTGCTCTTCCTTGCTGTGTGACCCGAGCACATCGGCCCTTTCTCTGTGCCTGTGGAAGGATATTGCGCCTGTGTGAGGCCTAAGGTCCATTCTGTGCTACCTCATGCACCTCCTCCCCAGGGGGTGGGCACTGTTTCCAGTTCACAGTACAGATCGGAAAGTGGGACTTGGAGAGCTGGGAGTGTGTTCCTAGGCCACAGATGAGGTGGCAGAGCAGGTCTTGGAAACAGTCTGATTCCTGGCTGTCAGGTTATAGATCATTGTAGATGATGGGAACCCCTGTGTCTCAGCTGGAACGAGGACACTTGGCCATTACAGGGCCTCGTAGTTATAAATAGACCGTTAGCCCCTAACCCTCCCAAATCTAGAGATTGGAAGCTACTAAAACGGAGTGAAGGTATGCTGCCAAGCCATTGGAGTCCAGGTGTGGCCCACTCTGCAGTGGGCATCAGTTAACAGGTCCCTTGGGTTTTAACTGATATGCAGGGGAGCTATAGTGAGCTCTTTGCTGGGCTGATCCTGATCCAGCATGGCCTGGAGTCTAAGCTGCAGACCTCGGATGCCAGGGACATTGATTTGATTGCAGTTAAGACGAACAAGCAGACAGACACTTGATGAATTGTTTTGTTAGGCCAGCCTGCGCAAGTGAAAATCAATGGCAATCCCTGTGCCTTGCTGGCCTCTGGGAGCATTTGAGATGCAGAGTGGGGATGGGGTGATGGCCTCCCCAAGGGCTGCTGAAGTAGCTGAGATCTGGCAGGCTTAGCCATCCTGACAGGCAGCAGGAAAACAGTTTCCTCCTGGAAGCACTTACCATTGGCCCAGCTCAGTGGCAGGGTCATTTCTCCCTGACTGAGCTCAGACCAAGCTGCTGTCTCCTGCAAGGCAAATAGGTGTTTGGAGCTTTGCCTGCTCTTATTCCCCACAGCCACCTCGAGGACTGCCCGGGTTTCCTGGGAGCAGTCTGGCTGAAAGAATAGAACACCACTATCTTTCTGTTTCCCGACATGTCAGGCCAGACCAAACATCCTCCAAGAAGCAACGTGTTGCTTGCACCTTTTAGTTCACCAGAACTGCCTTTCACAGCACTTTGAAACCAGCTCGGAGCATTCCTGTCACCCTTCCTCTCGGCCTAATGAGAGCACTGGACCAGATGAGTGGCACTATTGGGTGTTGGTGAAGTCCCTAGAGATGGAGACTGAGGCTGTTGCTCAGTGGTAGAACAAGTTACATAAGTAAGTTAACATGCAAGAGTATCGGTTTGTCCCCAATACTACATACACAAAGGAAGTCCCTAAGGGGATTCCAAGTTTAAGAATAGCAACCCAAGAGTGTTGGGTGGGTGGACCATTCGGTCCCTGTCCCACTGCTCTCCTAGTTGGGTATTTTCTAAGTGCCTTTTCTGTGCCCTACAGAGAATGTTCCCATCATATATGTTTCTGGAGAAACTCTTAAAATCTTGTGCCTCTGAAAGGACACAAGACTCAAGTGTCTTTAATCCTAGCCTGTGAATGGCTGCGAGAGCTTCTGTGCCCTGGAAGGCAAAACCAGAGATGGATTCTAAGAGACCTAAGCCTGTGGGGAGGGGCTGGCAAGGACTCTGCCCACAGTAACTTGGTCGTGGCTGCTGTCCTTGGCAAGCTGCATCCTGGAGGAGAAAACAGTTGGCACAAACGTGCATGTCACTGCCCACCAGGAGCTCAGATTCAGTAATATGTGCAGAAAAACAAATCAGACTCAATCAGAGTTAGACGTGGTGGCACACACTTATTTCTTGGGGGGTAGAGACAGAGTTCAAGGTTAGCCCAAGCTACATGTGACCCTGTTCATAAATGAATACAAACTAAATCTGAAGAACAAACTTAAGGGCACAATGCGTGAGCAGCGTCAGGCATTGTTTGTGAGAATTTTAACACTACGTTTGCACCCTGACCAAGTGTGGAAGGGAATGCATGGGCTGGCCGTGCTGGTAGCAAGGCCATGGTTACTTCTGTTGGGAATAAACACTTTTCCTGAGCCAGAGTCTCTCCTCTGTCTTCCTGGAGTTCATTCTCTTGCTTAACCTTTCAGTGTTGGGTCAGGTGAGAAAACCAGGGTACAGGGAGGCCCAAGGTCACACAGCTAGGGACCCTGGATAGGATCAGACCCAAGAGTGTCTCCTGAAGCCCCACTCTTAGCCATGCTGTTCCTCTCACTGCATCAAGGAAGACACCGGCAAGTACTTAGAAGACAGGATGCTTGGACATGCTAGGCTGCTGGGACTCCCGAGTACAGGGGACGTTGTTCCACAGAGATGGATTTTTTTCTTCTTCTTTTTTTTTTTTTTTTTAATTTTCATTTTATTTTCTGTGCTGCTCCCTCTGCCAAAGCTCTCCAGGTCTATGCTGGCTTGGTGGCAGGGTTGTTTCCGAAGGGCTCTCTTTTTTTTTTTTCTTTTTTTCTTTGTTTTCCACCTTCAAGAGGTTTGTCTAGTTTACTGTTCAACCTACTGAATAATGCTTTGGTTTTGTAGGTGTGTTTGATTTTTTGAGACAGGGTGGCTTGTATAACCTTGGCTGTCCTGAAACTCCTTCTGTAGACCAGGCTGGCCTCAAACTCACAGAGATCCACCTGCTTCTGCCTCCTGAGTGCTGGGATTAAAGGAATGCATAACCACTGCTCAGTCATGTGTGTTTGTTTTTAAAGAAGAAACTGTTTTAAAGCTTTATGTATGTGTGTGTGTGTGTGCGCGCCTGCATCCATTTATATGTACCACCTGTGTGTAAGTGCCTGCAAAGACCAGAGGAAGTTGGGTCCTGTGGACTACGGTGCTGGCAGCTGGACCTGGGTCACCTGCTAGAGTAGTGCACACCCCTAACCTCTAAACTCTCTCTGCGAGTCTTTATTTTGTTTTGAGAGACTGGCTCTTGATATGTAGTTCAGGCTGACCTCAAATTCAAGATGCTCTTGCAGCCTCCCATGTGTGGGATTATAGGCATGAGACCTCTCCTCGGGAGAGAAGAGGAGGAGTGCTGGTGTCCTGATCAGAGCCTGAATGGCACTGAAGCCTGGGAGTGCTCTGGCCAAGCCTAACCTGTCCCAGGGACCAGCCCCAAACAGCCAACATCCACATTTGCTTCTCGCCCTAAGGGTCAGCCTATTGGAAAGCTGAGAGTGGAGGACTAGGATCCCTATTTGGTGCATGTGTTCAAAGCCTTCTGGGTGTCAGCATGTGTACATAAGGCCCACCTCTGCCCTCCTGGAAGTCACAGTGCAAAGGGCATGTGGACATTAAATGAAATGTTTTGCAAAAACGGAAAAATGAAGAAGCCAAGGGTGCTTGTTCACTGGGCAGAAGCAAGAGGTCACCGGAGACTATGGAGCACTGCATACATGGAGTGCACAGACATACATGCAGGCAAAACACCCCCACACGCAAAAGAATAAAAACAAAAATGGTGCCATCTGCAGCCTCTGTGTGTGCAGGGTTTGAGTGGGGGGGTGAGTCCTGAACCAGCCATGAGAGTCTGCCTTCTTATCACACAGAAAACTCTCTACGATCAATTAGTAAGGTGTCACCTGGCCCTTAGCATTCTCGGCTTATTAAGCCCCTGTGTCTTTCCCAGGCTGCTAGCTAGCCCATGGTCTTGAGGATTTGTGGACTTCTGTGGGGCTCTCCCAGACACAGAATTTCTGTCAGTTCACTTGCTGCGACCTGAATGACAGAAGTGAGAGGCACTGAGTTCTAGTTTTCCAGAAATGACATCATGACACCAACTGTTTTTCAAGTTGCAAGACCTCACCCACCACTGTGGCATAGCTCTTAAGTGTTCTGCCATTCCAAGGAGGTCATTATGACTCACGCCCCTCCTGGAAAAAAAAGTGGAAAGTTTTCACCCAAGAACCAAGCTGAGCCCCATTCCTGTAAGCTTCAGCTCCAGGCCCACCTCCCATCTCACATTCTCATCTCCTTGCTCAGCGTTCTTTCACCCAGATTCTCAGGCCTGTTCATGCCTGTTCTCTTTATTGCTCATCCACCCATAAGGAGGGTGGGGGCGGGTCAAGAGAGCCCTGGGCTGAGGCCAGAAGCCAAGTGATGAGGAGGTGGCTCAGCTAGTTATGAGTATGCTGCCTAAGCGTGGTGAATTCTCATGCCTGGCACCCATGTAGGAGCAGGTGCAATAGGCCAGGGATAGTGGCACCCACGAGGCAGAGGCAGGTGGATCTCTGTGAGTTCCAGGCCATCCTGCTCTACAGAGTGAGTTCAAGCAGCCGCAGCTGCAGTTACTGCAGCAGCTCAGTCCTTTGCTTACGGATGCAAAGTGGCCACAGCCGAATTCAAACAGGTCAGCCAGCCTCCAGGGTCCATGTCCTCAACCCCTCATCTCTGCTCCTCTCTGGTTTGATACTTGAGCTGGGGGGCGGGGTATTCCGTGTATGTTTGGTTTAACATGGACCACCTCCTTGATTCTAAACATGGTACTTCTACTGATGCAACTTATAATTCAAGTTGTTCTATAAATAGAGGGGCAGAGGAAGGGAAAGATAGGAAGCTAGGCAGAATACATTTTTATAATTTCCACTTTACCACAGCCTCTCTCAATGGAGAGCTGGAAAGGCTTCATTAGGCAATCAGACATTCCATGAATTGCTGCCAGAGGCTGGTAGTGGCCCTCACTGCTGGAGGCCTGCACAAGACAGAGACAGATCTGTGCAGACATCAAGGACAGGGAAGGGAAGAGGATTCAGTTACACAGGGTAAGCTGTGGGATGAGATAAAGGCTGTCCCAGGAGTGCACCAGGCTGTGGATTTAAATAGTTTTGAAGATGCAAGATTGCCCGGGACACAGGTCGCGATCAAGGGGACACAATCAGGCCTCAGAGGGA